GTATTTATTTAATTTACAATTACAGTTAACTGGCTTGAAAGGAACTTGTCAGGCAAAAGGTGGCACCATATTAAAATGTACATGATATTGCTTTGAATATATCTCTCTCTCATTCATAATAATGATTTGGTAAGCATAATCATCACAGGTGTTAATTTATACTTAATATTGGTCTCCTTAAACGTTCCAATCGTGCTATTTTTTCATATTGTACACTTAATGTTTGTTTAAGTTTCACAACTCGTAAACTGTTGTCGTCTGTTCAAATTCAGTCATTACAGAGCCAACAATTGCCTTCAAATAACTAATACGTATCGGTACCCAAACAATGTTAACTAAATTGCATGAGATTCTATATCTAAATTAGTAAATGAAGTTTGAGTTGAAGATAAACCCAGTAATACTGCACATCGATATTACTAACATCATTTTTAACAATTGTATTTTCTGGAAGGACGTATTAAAATGTATGTAAATGTAATTAACACCTATTTTATTTTACGTTATCATTCAAGCGAGGAAAGTTCATTTTGAAGACTCCACAGTTTGTGATTAAATTTAACATTAGGTTGATAAGCCACAATGTTTGTAAAAACTAGCCTGATCAGCTGTTTTCAACAAACAAAAACCTCAGAGAGAGAGATCAGGTTGGCCTTAGTTCAGAGAACTGTTGCCAACTTAAATAAAAAGCATAGAACTGGAGCACTGAATAATCAAACTAATCCATAATATTTTTTTGGATTATAATGCATAAATTACGTAACAGAAATATAAGTTTTAATGTTCATACGTAAAACAATACCAGAATGAAAATAACAAACATAATAATAAGAATAATGTAAATGCAGGGCGTTTCGGTAATGAATTGGAAGTTTTAACTAGTTGTAATTTGGTTTACACTAAACTTACTTCATATAGGCCTACGATACATACATTACATTATACTATGCGACATAATGTGAAAAAACATGTCATACAATTCCGGTCAATACCACTCCAATCTACTTTCTCCCTTTGCTCATCGTCAGGCATATACAACAGTATTGTATCAATTTATACGTGAAGATGTACCATGTAAGGATAATAATAAACAAACAAAACAAACTGCTTGTGTTGCCCATTAATTTGACTATTTTACCATCTAAAACGTTTGGTACAATAGAGATCTTAAAGGGTAAAACACCGATACTACTTTTAAACACCCTTGGCTGAGTGGTTACAATACTCTCCTAACATTCAGGAAATCACCTGTTCGATCCGTTTTGATCATAACTGAGCGCAGCTGATCATCGGTCTTTTAAATGGTCCTGTATTAACAATCAGCTGATCTTATTCAGTACCAAGCTGCACAGGTCATCTCAATTCCATTCTACACTTATGTTGAATTCTTATTCACCTACGCACCTAGGTGGGTTGTAGCCACAAAAGTAATGATTTGTGCTCTGCTCACAATGAAGTAAAATTAAAATATCCTAAATGCATCTGATGATTTGTTCACAAAGTGCGAAACTGCCTTCTAAGCAGGATTGCTCAAATTACCCATTTCCCCTGAAAGCATGTGCCTTTTAAGACTTATTGTAAAATATATCAGGAGCTTGAAAAAATAAGTCAGTTGTAGATTTTAAGTCTATCAATTGTGTATAAATATTTGTACCCACGTAGGTTTATGTGGTTTGTTCAAGATAAGTAGAAAAGTCTTTTGTTAGGGAATTATATCAGGCTATGTCTGTTATTTACCATCTTTGTGTAGCTTATTATCAGTTGTCAAGTTCATTCAAAGATGTAAAAATACTCTGAATCTCGGGAGATTGATTTTGGATACGACAAGTAGACTTGACTTATTTGTAAAATCCGGAAGCCTATGTTAATGTTTGTTAGATGTTCGGAAACTTTTGAGTGGATTGGTCAGTTTAAGTTTTTTTTTTGGGGGGGGGGATTTTTTCGTTTATTTTTTACCCTACAACATTAGAAAACGAGCAATAGTTTGTGAGTAATCACCTTAGTTCGTTCAAAGTAATTTTGTGTTGGTGGAGTAACAGAAAACAAATGGTATACATAAAAAATGTACTCGTCATGTACCTGATGTCAACATAACCTCTTCAGTTGGTCTACAAGGTTAAGTAATCCATAAGGAATTATGTTTAACTGTAGTTAGTTGGTTAAATAATTGAAACCATTACAACGAATGAATATTCTTACAATATTTGATAAGGAGTCTCACTGGTCCGATCCCCTATTCCTCTCCCCCGGTCCGTTCCAGCTTTCCTATTCCCAGCATGCGCATGGGCATCGTAATATCTGTACTACTGTATTTACTGTTCGCATTCCCTGTTATAGCTTACTTCTTACTTGCTGTTTGGCTTATACTTGTGTAACTCATGTTAGATGTACTGTGTATTATATAAGTGAATAGTTTTAAATCAGTATTTAAGCTTGTCCTATAATATTAGTCGTTTTGAGGTTAGTTTGTTAATTTTTAAGAAATATAGTTACTTGACATTATGTACTTTGGCTTTAAATTAATAAAAATAAAAAAGCTGCTTTAAGTATTACTGAGGGTTAGATTTCCAAAGATTTTGGCAAAGTATATTTTGTTGTTTGAAGATTATTTTTAATGCCAATTGTTAAGGGTAGTCAAATTTGGAAACTTCATTTGTATTCTAGATAACAAAGTCGATGCATAATTTATTTTTAGTCATTTTAATTTTTATACTGTAGAATTTAACTAAGTCGTGGGTCTTTCTTGTCTGGGTTTTATTGCAATGTATTAACTTTGATATGGTCAAAGCTATTATGGTGTTTTAACATTTTAAAATGCCTTAGTTAAACTAATTTCAAGAACTCTTAATCACTTGCGAAGCCAATAACCATAATACATAAACAATCGTAATTGAGTGAATCAACTTTTGTCGTAATTATTATGTATATGCGAAATGCGATGGATTTATGAACTGCATTTTTATGTACCGGTATTCATCTAAATCTTAAAACAAGTAATTAAATTAAAAATGTGCATACATATTTACATTCAAAACAGATGAAAACTCTTTAACACAATAGAATTTAAGCTAGATACTTAATTACTTTCATACTTTTTGGCAATACAAAATAAATTTTAAATATTCAAATAAATTATGATATCTAATTAAATGAAAAGCTCTGGTAGGCTATTAAGTATGACTATGAGGTAATATAAATCTAATCAGGTGTTTTACATTAGGCTTATTTGAATTGGCAAATGTCACCTATTGAACATTTTTTATGTAACACATCAAAGATAAGTTTAAATATTATTCTAGCATCAGCATCATTAGCATAAATTGTTGTGTATATTCATAATTATTTATTATTATCCATTAATTATTATTGGAATTTGTATCCTACGATTTGAAAACCATCCTCGCAAACAAGCTGTTGCGTTTTGTCATGCAAAACGTTGAACCTGATTGCATTCTAAATATTTTAAATAATAATTTAATAAATAAATGTTAAAAATAATTTCGAACATCATTCAACGAATCAAATCGTGAAGGAATAATATGTTGGACATTTGATTGATAACTGGCCATATCATTAAATTGCAATATAAATATGCTCCAAAAAGAGGCTTAAATCAAATGCATACAAGAGACAATTTTTATGCTTTTAAAGACTAACTCCCCTAATACAATAAGATGTACTATATGATTATATTCTAATTTTCCAACTATTCATTTTTGAAGGATTAACCATAAATTTAAAATAGTAAAAATCATATTATATTAAGCACACATGTTGCCGTATGTAGTTTAAATTTCTCATCCTTCCAAACCCGAAGGAGCAATGGTGAAATTTCAATAATTCAAAAATAAACTTTATAATTACAGCATACGTGTATTCTGTTACATACATATACTGTAAGACACAAAGCAACAATGCTCAACGGTTTAGCGGTCTGCGAGTTGCTGGGAGACTGCCAGCAGACGACGGCCGATGCCCGCGTATTGATTGTAGTCCATTCCCGCCAAGCAACTCTCCTGTCTTGCAGCATTGCGGGGCCCTAGGCTCTTGCCAACAGACTACGGCTCGTATATCATAAAGCCCATCCGACCGACATATACAGTAGCATTGTGCAATTCTGGATTCATTACAATTTGTTTACGAACAGTTTGATTTCTTAATTCAAACCATTGCATTTTTTGTTTAAATTGGTTGTAAACACACATATTTGCATACAGTGAAACCCGTCCACTTAATTTTAATGCAGAGTATCATACAATTCTCCCAACTCTAAATTAAAATAAGTACTTTACTGTCAAGAAAAACATTGCTAGTGGTGAATTATCAATTTTTTCTTCAAAGATTTAATCATATTCTGCTTCATAAACATTGGGATCGTTTTCAAAGATTAATCCAAGCTTGTATTTAGCTATTATGAAGTATTATTTTAATTACAGACCGTTAAAATTGTCTCGCAGTATTTAACAAGTTCTTTGTTTGATGTGCACTACTGCACCACCGTGTACCGCCTATAGTATATCAACCACATGTTTCATAATTATTCAATGTTCTATGTTGGCAATAAGTAAATATCAATCATATGTTATTATTAATAATTAGAGTGTTAAATAAGTTATCAACAACATTAGACATTTTGTATCAACTAATTATGTATTGTAAAATAAATCTTTCCAAATGAAGCAACCCTAATCAATTATCAAACTCAACTAAATACGCGTGCATAAACAAGGCCACGACACCGCCACTACTAATTAAAAGTTATTGTGCTATTTAAAGGCGAAATATTTCAAGCTGTTGCCGTTCAAAAGACGAATCCCATTCCTTAGTGTAACACCACATACTATTCCCCTTCTACACAAGTATTGTCAAAGATTCATGTGGAATTTTTAAATCGACAAACACATTTTCCGAACTCAAATTTAAACAAGAAAGACCCAAGACGTTCAAACTGATTCAGCCACCACTGTGTAACTTATGAGCTCCTGTCTATAAAATTGCAGCATCCGTTGTCATGGCAAATATCCAAGGACAATACTCGAATGACTGGTCACATGATCCTGAAGAAGACCCAGCGTGCAGATGGTGGAGGGCCGTCCTCTTCCACGAGTATCCTAGGGCTGAAGGTGGTGGGAGGACAACTTCTACCAGGGGGCGGCCGGGGTGCAATAATTGAGAAGGTCAAGAAAGGCAGCACGGCGGACAAAGAGGGGCAGCTCAGGCCAGGTACTGTATCGTGGTTTTTTATTCTTCTCGAACTTCTCAAAAGTCTTCAGCTGAAGTCATTCAGATTCATTCTTTGTGCTTTTGTCCTTGTTGGTGTAAGTAGACGAGGGAAAAGTTGGTCAACCAGAAAACCAAAAATCACCGGTTCATACGAAAATATTGAATTATTTTTACAGTTTTAATCTAAGCGGATTATCTTTGAGAGATTCATCAATATTCCGGTTCACAGAATTAACAACAACATCTATCTGGCAACATAAATACCCAAGGTACGAAGGCAGTGACCCATGTGTAAAATTAACTGCATCAATTGCCTGATGTGCTCGTCTGTGTGTATGCTGACTATAATTGTTGTACATTGATGATAGGCTAAATAGCTAAGTAACTGAATTGTTATAATGTCCGTCTAACGATACCAGTTGAATGATCACCAGTGTGATTACGAGAAAAGTCTTTTGCCTTTTGATCGTTTGAAATAGGATCCAGCTGTATTTGATCATAGAACTAAAAGCTTTCTTTTCCTAGCGACTCGATTAAGCACTCGATTAAGACTCGGCGTGCTTCGTGCTCCGCGGTTACCGTTGCCGGGTTTTGCCCTGTGTTCCATCAACCACGCTGTTCCTGTCCGCGCGCGTTCCTTTGCAAGCAAGCACGCAGCACGTACTACTAGGGTGTACTAGTATAGTAGTAGGGCGGTTACTGAAGTTAGAGGAAAATGCAGCTTGAGAAATGCTCCTGCCGAAAAAACGAGCTACATCTATATTATTGTGTATTACGTTGTTCTTACACACTCCTTGCATTAATTAGTATAAACCCCTGGTTAATAGTAGCATAATCTCATAGTGATCAGGTATCCGAAAATGTTCAGGGATCTTTGTGGGCTAGAACCTAGAAAGTTGGGTAGTTCTTTTTTTAAATAATATGAAAAAAATGCTTTTTACCTTTTGATTATCCATTCCAAACTTTATTTTACCGTTTAGGATTATGGTCCTCAACATTTATAACCTAAAGGCATCAAAATGTTTAAAGAAATATTTACTCTGCGGTTATAAGGGTCAGGAAAGCATCCAAGCGGATATTGGCAGATCAGAAACCGGGTAAACAGAGATGTTAGTAGTTTGCGTCACAAGATTAGGTTTCAACCGCCGCCGCCGACTGCGTTGGAAATGCAAAAATACTATTTAAAACATATCCAATACGACTTATGGTTTGAAAACAATAGATGGATGCAGTAAGTAGTCTAATAAATAAAAACATAGATTTTAGAGTTTAAATTTGGGGTTTAAAAATTTTCTTTCAATCAAATGTTTACCATTAAAATTGCAGCCACCGTGTAAAAGCTTCAAAACAAACCATGATGTATGTTGCGTTGTTAATGGTTAAAGTTGCGGAGTAATTCTAAAAAATACTGTACATTTGTAAAGAAAACTTACTATAGTTTGCTTTTTTAGGAAAATATAAAATAAATTTAGCAAATTAATTTTTTCCTATACTGTTAACATTTGATAAAAATACCCTTCCCTTCCCCGTAGTAGCAAACCTACTGTACTGTACTCGTTAAACCTATTGTCAATTAAATACTGCCTAAACATGACTTGTCCATAGAAATATTTTAGTCAAAATCCTAACAGGAAATAAATTCGAGTCTACAGGTTTACTGCGGTGGGGGTGTTCGGATGTAATCCGTCACTTTTACAAGCTCACTCGACTACGACAACCACACTGTGAGTGATCAAAGAGTTTGAAATGATCGTCCCGAGAAGACATTGATCGTTGACGTCAGACCACGCACTTACAGCGATGACGTCTTTCATGTCTGTCCTCCTTGTGGCGCAGTAATTGCATGGTAATGTGCAAGCAGGACTTTTCAAAAATCTGATAATAAAACTGTAATAGTTTGAGAAACATACGTCAGTCAGTGAATTTGCCAACTAGAAAAGTGCTTCGAAGAGGAGTAGGGTCTATTCTTATACTATCAGGAATATACAAACGAAACACGTACCGGTAATATCAATAACACACCCTGTTGAAATAAATCTCGTTTTCGATTAAATTAATAATTAAATAGCGCTGGATGAAATAATATTTGTTTTTATTACTCGATGGACTGATGATTTGGATTTTAACCAAAATTCGAACTTTTTGTCTATGTGGTATGTTTTACATCGTGAACCAAATAACACAAAGGTAATCCAGATTTTAACATTACCTACATCGTAGATGCAAAACTAATTATTCAATCGATTGGTAAATACAATTTTCCAACAATATAACACTTAATTGTTGGCTAGTTCCAATATTCTGTAAACACAAAAGTATTTATAACGTGAAATAAACCAAATAATTGTATTGCAGAGGTGCAGAATCGCCCTTCCACAGTGGTTAGTTATGTAAGAAGATTTAGGTCAGAGATTACAGAAAACTGATACTAGACATCAGCACCATCTCTGTACCCAGCGGCGAACTACTAGCGTTGCAGTCATCCCGCCACATTCAAACTTGTGTTTCCAATAAGGTTCTAAAGTTGAAGTCTGCTGCATTCTTTCCCACATTCTCTAATTTGCAGTACAATTTTGATCTGTACGAGTACCTATACCATAGATAAAACATACTGGAGTATGTTTTGTCTATGCCTATAATGTTGAGGTTACGAGATAATATAGGTCGGCCGCTTAGAAAACGACCTCCTCCAGCATTGGTTTAGCATTAGCGCGCAGGTCGTTTTCTAAGCGGCCGACCTATAGTCGTAATACTTTACAAAATGCCCTCATGGACAATTTCTTAATGAATTCAATTTCTTAACTCTGTTTTTCGAGGGACTGAGGGAGGCGTACATATTCTTATAAAAATATATGTGGAGGAAATGTTGGTAAAAAGAGTGGTACTTTTAACAAGCTCCTATGTGAATTTTCACGATTCGGACTGGCAACACTTGATTTCATCATTGATTTTGAAAAGTCTAGTTATTTGTGCAACTAGTGAGAAAAGTGAGCAATTGACTCACTCGAGAGAAACAGAGAAATCCTTACTCACGAGCCGTAGGCGAGTGAGGAATGGTTTCTCGAGTGAGGTAATTGTACTTTGAACTCGAGTTGCACATCATACTTTTCCTACAGTTACCATAAAACAAATAAATTGGTGAAGAAACATGACCTATTTTTACACAGAAGTGAACTTTTAAATATAACATTTAATGTGAAGTGACAAATACAACAGTACAACAGCTGACCAGCTGATTTACAGCCAGTGCTGCCAACGTATTTCGCGCGCATACGACGTTGCCTGCATGTTACGCGCTCACTATTTCGTGCCTTCACGTTGCAAATCTGGAGTGAGACAAAGTAATTAGATTGAGACAATGTTAACATTGTCTCACTGATGAGCGAATGGGCCACTTTGCTTTCTCGAATCAGTGAGAGAACATGTACATTGTTAGGTAACTGTGGGAAAAATATTTAATCAGTACACTTTCATAACAACGATGCTTTGTGAAATTATTTGAATCCACGAACACTGATGACGCAGGACACAACCGGTTACCGGTACTACTCCAATAATTCAGTCTGGAACTGACTTGTCCTGTTATAGACTGGACTGGATGCAGACGCGAAGGTCTGGGTCTGACTGACTCTGAACCGAAATCGGAGCAAGATCAGATTGTAATGAAATGAAATGAAGTGATTAACACAACACAACCGGAATCCGGAATACCGAATCGAATACTGATGGCGATGGCGGTGAACATCTAGGAGGATTAAACATTAAGGAGAGGACACGCTGTAGTTTCGTTGAAGCCAGCGTACTGGGGTGGGGGGGAGGCAGCGCTACTCTCCCGCCCCCTCTCATACTGCGTTGTATGCGTTACTGGAAGATTTGGTAGAAATATCAATTAACTATTTAAAAATTAGACTTCATCATGCTACGAAAATTAAAAAGTTAAATTCTAACCGTAATATTAGGAACCTATTGAGAGGAAAGTCATATTTATGAACCAATAGTACGTCCAAAAGTGAGTAATTTACACAAGGATGACTTATTTTTTAGAATTCGTTGTCCTTGTTTTTATTTTTTGTCATACTTGTATTGTGTTTTATTTATAATACTCTAACCAGAGCGCGGGACTCCGGTTCCTGGGGTCCCGGGTTCAAATCCCGCCATATCACCAATGGATTTTACTGTTCATAAATTAAAACTCAAATCATGAGTAGTACTGTATGTGTATTTGAACATTTTCTTAAAGAGAAACAAAATAAGTTTTTATCCTTTAAAAGAATGATAAACGCACTTGGGTGGTCAGAATACGCGATGATTGTTGAACATTTACACTTTTTACTCGAAGTTTCTTTAGGTAAACATATCAAATATAGTTCAATATGATATTTTAAAAAACAAGAATTTGATTGCCAAGAAATTGTTTTACTTTTTATGATTGTAATTTAATTGTAACGGCTGTTGGTGTAAAAAAAGTTAGAGCGGCTTTGCATTTTTTCTTAACTTTGGCTATTTAAAATAACCTGCCTAGCACATAAATGACTTAAAACTAGTAAAAAATTATATTAACAAATCGAGAAAACTATGAAAAATGCAAATTTAAAATGTATTTCATCACCCGAATTTAAATTTTCATTTTAACCTATTATTAGTAAGATTGTTTTATAAACTGGAAAGATTTAAAAAAAACTTTTTTGTAATTATTTTTCTAAATACCACTTTTAAATATAGGTAAATATATATTTTTTATTTCCAGAAACTCTTAAGGAACACGAATAAATTGTTAATTTGTGTAGATACATCATATTTTTTTCAAAAACGTAATTAAAGTAATCATATGTTCAAAGTTCAGGTCAATTCTTTCAACTTTGATCTTCAATAATAAATAATAAATAATATTTGTTATAGGAATGATTGACACCGTTCGATAGGAAATTTAATTTACTTTAAGAATGCCATCGGTGAATAACACAGATGTTTTAGTTTAGCGGCAATTTTAATTCGAAACAGCGCGCGTCGCGTTTTTCCCTATCTCTCCCATGTTATAGCCGAGGCTTTTTGCCACTCTACGGCTCCGCGTGCCCCTCTAGTGTTCTGCTAAAGCTGGCTTCACCGCAACACGTGTATTCCTATTCGCGTGCCCTCTCCTTAATGTTTAATCCTCCTAGGTGAACATGAACATCGTTATGTGCAGTGTTGGCGAAGTTTTGTGTTTTGTCGTTGAAATTTGTGATGTGAATAAAATAAGATCTATTGGACCTCTTCGTTAAACGGCATTTTCAACAGAGAAACGAGAAACTATGTGATATGTGTGGTTTTTGTAACAGTTTACCCTTGATGAGATTCCGTCCTTACTAGAAAACTAGGCCTATCCTATGGCTGTAAGAAGTGCGACCAAAAATGTGTGTTTATTGTGTAAAAGCGCCAAAAAATATTCAAGGTTGTAACAAATTTAAGCCACTAGAGAAGTAGGCCTATCTGATGGAAAAAATATTATAACCTCAAAGAACACTTGGAAGAATAAAGGGATCAGAATAGTGATGGGACAAACGACTGATTTCAACCATCCGATGTTTCATACGATGGTTTTGCTTTCATCCGATAGTCTTCAGATGGATGATTCATCCGATGGTTTTGAGTGTAGTGGGGTGGGGAGCGTCCGTGCTGCTTCCGGAGACAGATAAAACTATCCAACTAGAGAACGAATGGATAAACCATCAGTTCGCGCGCCTGATCAGATAGATAGTTTTGTATAGTCAATGGTTTTGGTTAGGTTGGCATTTGGCGGTCCTATCCAGCGCCATGTTTCGGAGGATTTACCCGTGCATGAACAAATAGATCATCAACAAATAGTAATTAATAATATGTGTTGCGTGATTAAAGAACTAACATGTATTGTTAGAAAATTAGGCCTACTTCCCTCTTCTGTTTTATTTTTATTCTAAATAAATATATTTATTTATTTTTCATTAGCTTAAAATTATTTAAGATAAATAATTAATGTTTCTTTAAGGTTTGTTATTCACTATTTAAGAAGATAATTCCCTTTTTTCTAAGTTGCTTGGTTATTTAATTTTAATCTTTTGATGTGTCTAAATTATGACCACTCCGTATATTGGATATTTATTACTCACGTAATAATTTTACGCCAAAAAGGTACAAGCTGTTTGTACAAATTAAAAAGTCTTCATAATTTAAACTACGTAATTAATAATATCTGCCCAAATGTATTGTTCTGAGCATGAGCAGATGATTGGATGATTCACCTGATAATGGATGAATAAATAACCCATTTAATATCCCTTTGTAGAAAAATAAGTTAAACAAATTAACTCATCGGGCAAATAAACAATTTCACCATTAAATAAAGAACAGTTTCAGTTGTCAAATAACTAATTCGTAGTTTAAACTAACGAAAATGCCACACGGATAGTTTTACCACAGACAATATAATACTTTAATGTTTATAGTATAATGTTTAATGGTTTATATTGTCTGTGGTTTTACAATTGAATGAAAACGTGGAACGGGTGGTTTACAGACAGGCTAGATAGTTGATTCGGCTGATTCACCTGTGATAGAATGGATGGTTCATCCGGATGAAAATTAAAGTAACCATCGGATGAATCGGTTGGCGCGCAACAACCGGATGAATCGTTTGTTTCAATCGGATAGTTCCCATCACTAGATCAGAAGCACAACATGACAACTGTGCTTACTTCAAATATCAAGCAAGTACAAGTAATAGCTGAATCACAGATCTTTGTAATATAATCTACACTTTGATGAGTTTGTCCCATTTGACGTCTAGAAGCATTGATCTACCCATTGTTACTGGCCATTGCTTCCTTGTGCAGGTGGAAAGCCAAGACTCATAAACACTAAAATATGACAACAGTCGCAAGTAACTGTTGAAGGGTTGGGGTTGGGGACAGTTTAATTACTTAACAATAACAAAGGATTTCAGCTCCTGACGATTTTAAGGTACAATGCAATTTTTAATCCAGGATCGTTATATCACACTTGAAAGGCAATGGCGGGAGGTGATAAACTACAACTCGAGGTATCACACCAGGAGAATCCACTTTTTAGGTTATCTTGCGGAATGTAATATGCTTAAAATAAGATATTCTTTCTCCAGAAGACTTCATTACTGTACTATTTCCAGACTTTCTCTGAGGTTTACATTCAACCTACCGACAGTAACTACAAGTCTGTGTTTTGTTAGATCAAAAGTTTTTTTAGTTTAGTATTTGAGACTTACACCTAATTTAATAATTCTATTCAATTTAATGCCACATTTTGTTCTGATTGTTGTTGTTTACATTTTACTTTTTCACTCAAATTCAAGGATCTGTGTGTTTAGAGATTGTAAGGGCGCTATCAATTCTGAACAATTTACCATCTTTATGAACATTTTTGATCTTATTCCTGAGAAATCAATTCTTTTCAATCGTCGTCTATTGTCTAATCAACAATACCTTTTTGTGTGCAGGTGACGAGGTTGTCGAGTGGAACGGGCGATCGTTGCAAGGCAAGAGCTACCAGGAAGTTACCGACATTATTGCCGAGTCCAAGCAAGAGCCGCAGGTGGAGCTGATAGTGACTCGGCTGCTGCCCAACAGACGTGGCCGCGGCCAATATCCCCCCTCCCCCACCACCTCCCACAAAGGTTAGGCTTGTTATATGTTGTGTGTAGGCCTTGGTAACCTATATGAAAGCAATGATTTCAAAAAGAAATTTTGATATGGTAGTTTTGTATTCTTTAAAAGTTGGCCTCTTACATGATTACCCTCACATCAAATTAAATATGCCGTCATGTCATGAACTCCAAGGGTTTCTTTATGCAACATATTGTATTCAGGACAACGGAATGCATCCTACTACGCAATTTTGATTGTTACAGTATATCCAATTTATAATCTTTTCCAAAGTGTGATTAGGGATCTACTCAGTAAATATCACTATAACAATGGCAATTTACCTTTGACTATTAATTGAAAGAAGTAGACAACCTGTTCCCGATGAAAAAAATGAACACGGCGTAGTTGACGGAAGCTACCAACACAGAGCGCTGATATAAATGAACTAAACATTTTTCTTAAATACCTACGCCAACCTAAATTTACCAAGCCAAGCTATAAATATAACTCATATATATATAGCATTATAGTACCGGTAACTTCTAACTAACAGTGGCTAAATTTAGATTGATATATAGTTAAACTGGAACAGATCCTGTGAATGGTTAATACAACTATGTTTTTTTATATACATTATAGCTGCTCCATGTAAATAGGATGTTTACTTCATTATACCGTACAGAAGACAATTTGTTTGTCTACTGAAAAATGAGTGATTTGTATATTTTTCTGGTATAGTTGGTAAAAAATGCTTTAAAATGACACTTCATTTAAAGAAATTGGTCAAGAATTAAGGAAGCTATGGCCTACCGACAAAAAAGTACTTTAGAAATTATATAAAGAAATATATATAGATTGTTATTTAACATTTACTATCGACTTTTCAAGCTGTTGCTTGGGTCGCGAAACTGTATTTGCTGACGACTCGGCTTATGTAAAGTTTTGATCAACTGTGCAAGTGTATCAATTAATATTTTTGGAAGGCATGGTTGTCTTTGATCATTGTAATAGTTCGTTGAAGATTATCTCGTGGAATAATCCAATTAAGAAAGGTCACTGAGCTTAGGTACGATTCTTCCTGGTCACCACCTGAATGATTGATCAGGGCTGATTGTTTATGGAAGAATAATCAAAGCTGTAGGCTCTTAAACATTACTCCTCGAAACTCATCTTAGTATCAAAGTGATCTTAATCTGTCTTTGTAAAAGATTTAAGTAGGTATTGGTCAGTGTTGGGGAAGCTACTTTTAAAATGTAGCTAGCTACAACTACTGCTACATTTCCAAAAAAGTAGCTTAGCTACAGCTACAGCTACAGTTCCGAAAAAGTAGCTAGCTACAACTACAACTACAATGAAATGTAGCTACAGCTACAATTTTAGCTACTTTTCCAATGACGTTAATTTTTATTCCACGCACATTAGGTAAATGTAAAATTAATTGCAACTACATTTTTATTGAACAAACATTTAAAAAAATGTCAGTATTGTATCTAACATTACTTGGAAAACAAATTATTCCTAGATTGTATTTAATTTGTTGGCATTATAAACCTAACATTAGAACAACAGAACCAAATAGTTGGGTATCCCATCATATTTAGTAATTATTTTTAAATAGGCCTATTGCATTATTTTTAAGCATCTTAAAATGTAATTTTCATTAAGTTCAAAGGACATACAACCAAACTATATTTTAAAAGCTAATTTTATTAATTTAATATAGATTCATTTATAGATGCTTTATATCAACAATTAAGACCAATAAAACTGCAAAAAGATTATTTAAAAATACTTTTTGTGTTACAGAGCCTAGCCTACTGAAATTGGAGTTTATTGCCTTTCTTTACTTTTAATGTTAAAAACAACATTGCTATAACTTTTAAAGTGATAAATTACTTATTCTACGAATAACACTTTTCAATGTCAAGAAATCGTCCTTTATTGTCATTATGCATAGGACAAATTGTGCTTCAACCTAGTTGGTAGAGAAAACAGTATTCAGCAACTTATCCTGAAATCGGCTTTTAATTTAAACATGATGAAATTTGTAAAGTAAAAATAACATGTAGGCCTACTTGGCTATGTAACAAGTTGGCTATAGTAGGCTTGTTCTTGCAAGGACTAAACAGATATATTCATAATAATTGAACTTGGTATTCGTCTTAAACCATAGCCTCAGTCATATACAAGAGCTGTTAGCAGGAGCAAACTATGTTATTTTTTCAATGTAAGTTTCATGTTATATGAAGATTTTTTCATTACAATTATCATGTAGTCTAGGCATATCTTAAATCTCATCAGGTAATTTCCTCTTTGCTAATTTAGTAAACCTTTGAAAAATCTTCGTAATCTAACCAAGGAAGGGCTTGTGATGATAAACTACAATCAACAGCTGAAGCAAAGGTTGGTAGACCAGCTTTATCATTATTTCAAGGTGTGTTGGTTTCCATTAAACCCCAAGTTGAAGCATTATCGATATAATAAAGAAACTAAATTGATTACTAATTCCCCTGTGTCCTGTCAATCACTTGCAAGCATTCAATTCAATTCAATAGCTTCTCTTGGCACCGGTACCGTTTAAACGTCGTCTGCATCTAGCGATTTTATTTTATCTGACAGTAATCATAGAGTAATAAATTAAGGAAATGAGAGCCAAAAATGTGGATAACACTCATTTAATGGCCTCTATGTCCACACAACGTTGTAATAGGGAATGAAACGGCTGCAACCAGCTGTTTGAAGCCAAGAAAGTAGGCCTAATTTTTTTGAAAATCTCAGTTGGAAAGAGGTTGTTTCACGTAAGGTTGAGGTTATGATAAAAATCACTATCTCAAACAAATGTTAATGTAGCGAGAAAAGTAGCTAAAATTCCGCTACAACTACTTTAAAAATGTAGCTAGCTACAGCTAAAGCTACAAAATCTTAAAAGTAGCGTAGCTACAGCTAACGCTACAAAAAAAGTAGCGCGCTACTGTAGCGTCGCTACTTGTAGCGCGCTACTTCCCAACACTGGTATTGGTTAACTAAAGGCTTCAAAATGTACTTATTTACTTTTGCATTGCTTGTGTTATTTGTAATTTTAAGTGTTGTGTGTGCCTCTAAGTTACACCCAATTTGAATTTATGGGTGGATAACATAAAATATTAACTAAACATACCCTCTCATAGATTTGTGAGAAACATTATGCATCAACCGTGGAGGAAATATAATTACATGTTTCTGTCCTGTAGCCTCTCTCTCTCTCTCTCTCTCTCTCTCTCTCTATATATATATATATATATATATATATATATATATATATATATATATATATATATATAGTTCTGTTGTTTGCTAGGACTTATTTATGTTATCTAACTAAATTTAACATGTCAATTATTGCTTGCCATTTGCTACAATAACTATAAAGAGTAAAAAATTTACCCTAAGAAAAAAAAATAAAACTGTTTAGTCTTAACACACTGTAGCATCATAGACATGCAACACAATCAAATCAGCCTTCAAGTTTTACAATATTTAACAAGCAAATGAGTAGGTTAAATAATTGGGATGGTGTAGAACCCAACAGTTCCGCGACAGTCCCGCCCGGGCAGACTCCGAGTCTCGCAGAGCTATCAACCTAACGTTAACGCGATGAAAAATTCCTGATTTTCCAAAAAAGTTACCCTATTTTAGGGAGTTTTTCTACTAAAAGCGGGAGAGCGGGAGTGGACATCAAAATGCCTCCCGCATAATGCGGGAGAGTTGGAAGGTCTGTTTTTGTAGACATACACTATTTATTTGATATGATACTTGTGCCAATAAAACTGATGTTTGCACAGTACAAATCTAAAATTTTACGTTAAGATTGTGTTTAGTTGAGACACAAACAAACAAACTATATTTTAGACATTGAGGCACTTTTTTTTCAATTCCAATCTCATTGCCTACTGTAAAAATTTCTAAATTTAATTTATGGATGTATTTTTTCAGTAGTTGTAGTCGAAAAAATACATTTTATTATTGCCAAGTAGTTTAGATTAATTTTAGGCCTATCAAAGTCATGTTTTAATATATTTTTAAAATAATATTGTAGGGTAGATATGTTTTAAACTCTAAATGCATGGTTTTCTGTTAATGTAAAAGCTTATTCTATCACAAAAGGTTAAATTAAATTAATTGTCTCTTGTATTAAGATTTAAGGTGCTGGTAGTAAAAAAAAAATGTATACACGATTCATACTTTTTTGTACATTTAATTGGGTATATTTCAATGGCAAGGTGTTTATGTAAGAAAATAAGAAGAAATATAATATATGTTGCTTCAATTAATTAACTTTTCTATTCTAACTGCCCTTTAACTAATTTAACTTTAAAACTGTGTCTTGGTTTTGTATGAACAAAAACCATGAATGCTGTTTCCTTTTTACAAGACTTGCCAAATCATACTACGGTGTCAAGAAATCTTGTGGTAACAACATTATTCATCTGTTGCTATTAACACTATATATTATATCTATATGTGAACGGTATCGTTTCTCTGCGATAACCAATATCTTAGATAATACAGTTAGTTAATCCTAGGCTCTACATATTGAAAGCTGCTTTTATTTGGCTCGCAAAAACTAGTTGTTTCTTTGCTAACATTTGCTGCTTTCAGATTCATCGTACTTTGCCATTCCTTACTCCCTCCTGTATGTTTTAAGTATTGTTCGCTACTCTATTCCTTACTGAAGTTCATTGCGCAGTAACCTTTAGTGTATTTTGCAGGTATCACCGTAGTTTCAATACCAGCAACTTCTCTTAACCTTGACTAATGCTGCTTTTCTTTTTCAGCATTCCAAATAATTCCATGTTTAAATAAGGATTCATTGGATTCAGTTTGTGTTGTATACTTGCTGCTTGATTGGCTGGATTGTGACATTTGATTTAACGCTGTTGTACAAAACTGTTTTCCTTGAATGCTTTAACTGTATATTTACAAAAAGTAATACTTGTAGGAAATTTTGGAATTGTTACTGTATACAGGAATCTAACAAACTTGACACTTGGTCTTGAATAAGTTCTTCATAAGTTTGTCGAAATTATATTTAAGGTAAACGCTGTAAATTCTTCTCATTAAATTCACTATATCTTTTGTTACATTTTCAAATAATAACTAAATTAGTTCAGTTAAATCAAACTCATACTTTAATGTAAACAGAAAAACTAATACAAACAAAACAAATACAAAATAACAGGTGATCATTAATTCACATACACATATGGTCAAGTCAGTACATCAGTATTTAAACACATCCATTCTCCCCTCTGAAATGTTTTGGTAACTTTATTTCGCATTTGAGTAGTTGGTCAACATGACGCCTCTAGACAGTTCCATAGTCCATTTGTACTCTATACAGAAGGTTGCTTTCCCTTTCCAATATTTTTCCAAAACTCCACTTGTCTTTTGAGTTTGAATAATTTAATAATTTATAATAATCGCTTGTACTCTGTCTCCCTCCTTAAAATATCTTGTTGCTTGCTTCACATGTTCAGTTTCTTATTTACGTGTAGGATGTAAAAGAGCTATGTGTGTTTGAATCTTCCTGCCAAACATCAAGGAGTATGCATCACACCCAGATGAATTTGAGGTTTGACAAAACTGCATAAGCATTCTGAAGAGTTTGAAGTCTATCTTTCTGCCTTCTTCAACTGTCCTTTTACTACAGCTCGTAAAACATACGCCATGGATCTTTAGATTATTCAACTCTTGTCCGTCCATTCTTTGTTTTTCTCGTCGCCAATGTTACATTTTCAAATAATAAGTTAACTAAATTAGTTCAGTTAAATCAAACTCACTTTAATGTAAACAGAAAAACTAATACAAACAAAACAAATACAAAATAACAGGTGATCATTAATTCACATACACATATGGTCTTAAGTCAGTACATCAGTTAAACACATCATCTTTCAATTATTGAACGTATTAGTGCAGTAGTAGAAACTTGTTTCTTGTCCGTGCTGGTGCCCAGGCCTGTGCTTTGCAAGTGATACACTTTGGGCTCAAGAGACAATTGCACCCCTCTCTACTTACTTTGTGTGGGATTCTTTCTCTTCCTTACGCCCCAACAAACCGTAAACCTCTTGATCCCCTGGGCCCGAGCCCATTTATTAAAGCGGCCCTGCTGGTGCCTTGATTGACATTGGATGAGTTTAAATAATTAGAAAAATAAACCGTCCTGATAGAAGGAATCTTACTGAACACTGTGATTGGTAGCGTGCTTTGTTCGAGACCAGATTGATTTACTATCTCAACGCAGTCACCAATGGTTCATGTCTCCTACACAGCAACAACACTTCACTGTCTTTAAGTGTCCGACCAATTTGGTGCACCGACCAGTAGAGATGATGACGGGTTGTTGAAATTTTTACAAACAGTCACAGTAAACGTTATAACTACCAACATCATCTATTTACCCTTGAAAGACTCGTATTTTCTTGTAGGTTGAGAAAATTCTTCTTAATGTTTTATCTGAAAATCAGTTTTTCAGTCAGTTCTAAAACAATATCCAAACCATTCTGCGTTTTATCCCTAAAAAATTTGTTGCTACTCAAGTTGTTAGCGTCTCGGACTTTGATTCAAGAGGAACAGGTTTGATAAATGCTTGTTCACTAAATCTTGGATGATTTTCCCTTCAATTGTTTTAGTTTCATGCATATAAAAATTGGCACCGGTTTGTGCAATAACATAAATAAAATAAACAAAATTTTAACCCTTGCTGGGATACAAGTGTCATGTTTGTTGGATTTTGCTTTCCCTGTTTGACTGTTTGGTGTAACCGCTGAGATGTTGTTTCAGACACCTACGAAGGCGGAGGTCGCAAAGACAAGCCGAGTGTGTTGGTCACTTCCCCCGGGTCACCGGAGCTACATGCCTCCTCCAGGTCACACCGCATGCCTGCCTTTACCAACAGCAGCGTCGGCGGCCGCATACAGGTATGTGTTTCATCCGTGATTTAAATGTTCTCTTTATTTTTTATTTTGGTGTTCATCTACGTTTTTGGATTTTTTTTATATTTTTGTAAGGGAATAGTCCAGAGCCTGGTTTGTTATTATTTAACATCAAACTTTTGTCATTAATTATTGATGAAGCTCTATCTGGAATCCGGAATTGATTATTGCGGATTGATTATTGATTATTATTGAATTAATTATTGCGGTCCTCTATCTGGAATTATAGGATCTGGAATACGACCTCTGCTTATGTTTTTTAAAGTACCCTAAACATAACTGAAATAGTATTCAAACTCAGCCAAAGCTGGAAAATCACAAAAAAATATAGAAAACTTTATATAGCATAAGTAAAAAATTACAAAACAATCCTGAAAGAAAACCATAAATAGGCCTAGTTCAAATAACAAAAGCAAACATATAGACATGTCAGCATAAGATGGTGGCTCCAAATTGGGATATCGTTTGGAGCTGTGGCTTGTAGGGAAGTAGGGGAGTGAGAGTTTACAAAACCATGGATGTGAGCGCTAAATCAGCGCTAGACATCCATAGCGCTAAATCAGCGCTAGACTTGAGCTAAGTATACTCTACAGCACCGGGTCATATCTCCGTCTGGCCAATGGTATTGTCTAAGAGTATATTTTCACGTAGTTATATATTGTTGTATCGCAGGTGAAGCTGTGGTTTGACTCAGGTGCGCTACAGCTGGTAGTGACACTAGTGTGTGCGGCTGGTCTGATGCCCCGGAGTAACGGACAGCCTCGCAACCCCTACGCCAAACTCTTCCTCCTACCTGATAGAAGGTATGAGTTTGTATCGAACAGTAGAACCTCTTTCAACCAAAACTCGTGTCAAAACGATACATTAAAATAAAAACACTGGATAAACAAAGAAAGTCATGTGACCAAACAAAGAGATGTGGCTCAGGGATCAGGGTTAAGATATTTATGCTCTATAAACTATAAACACCATCCCCCTACGGTAAGATGAAACAGCTGGACATTCTGAATTTTAAATTAAAAAAGTAAACAAAACAGGTAATCAAAGTGCTTTATCGCGTTTCTTTTGAGTTTCATGGTTTGAATTGAAAATCTAAAGCTAGTTTGTAAATCTGCACACCCAGATGTGTGATGTAAGTTATGTAGGCTTATGTTAGTCTTTAAACAAAAAAGCCTTATCGGGAACAAACATGGTAGTAGCGTATTAAATATATATAAATTTGTCAATGTTATCGTTTTGAGGTAGTTTATTGCTTATTTGAAGAAAGTTTCCATAGGATCTTGGAACTTAGCTTGGATATTTATTAATATTATTGTATACAACTCATGAGCTAGCGGTTACTCTGATTTTGGACATGTTAGAGTGTTCAGTCCCTGGTAATCCACAAAATGTTAGAGTTTTCAACCAGTATTTTGTACATAATTAATCATTTGTGTGTGTTTCAGTGAAAAATCTAAAAGAAGAACAAAAACATTAGCAAATACAAACGACCCAAAGTGGAATCAGAGTTTTGTCTACTCGTCGATCAGAAGAGCGGATTTGAAACTCAGAATAGTAGAGATCACGGTGTGGGACTATGTGCACTATGGGACCAACCATTTCCTGGGAGAGGTGGGTTCACTCGTGTTTTAGGAATTATTCAGAAGAAATAATCTCTGGAAAAGGCCAACATTAGGATGGGATATCAATGATTTATTGTAATGAAATAATGAAAAATTGACAACTCCCAGAACAGTCTCTTTTTTACACAAATCGTATATAATTTTGTGCAGTTTCAATAGTACAAATACATGAATATTAGAGACTTCTAACACTGAAATAACTCTACTGAGGTTCTTATAATAACACACAGTTTCATTATATACAAATAAAATATAAGACTTAGTACAAAACAATATTTTCAAATGTGGGCTATATTTTTTTGTTTGAAATTGTAAAAATTAACATAAGAGTTTAAAAATTAACATAAGAGTTTAAAAATTAACATAAGAATTCAAAATTAAATAAAGAAATTAAAAAATTAACTAAATACCACCGTTTCACGGTTATGCTTTCTCTTTAGATATAAAATGTTAAAAATTATTTTTTTTTTATTGAAACCGATGACACAAACAATTTGTACTGACTGCTGAACAGCATGCTTGCTGGGGTGGCTTCTTTTAAATAACCACATACAATTGGGTACATACATTACCAGAATAATTACAAAATAAAAAACCTTGAGAAATACATGAAGACTCTTTTGGTTATTCTTAATTGGTAGAACACTCAACACAATAACAAGCCTTAAAAAATCCCTTTAACTGGGGTTCCCACTCCATTGAAAAATCTAACATCCTATCTAGATATCTACCTTTTGCTGTGGTACTATTTTGTAGAATAAAAAAAAAGAATGTTTAACTTTTAACGTTTCCCAAGATACATTTTTACAACCACTTTAAAAATGTAATTGCTTATAAAATACATTTTGAAAATGGGAACAACATTGTTTGTGCCAAAGATTTGTAGATCATTTTACATGCACTAGTATACATATTTTTATGGGCCTTAAAGCATATTCAAAATTAGAAAAGTTCGCAAACAAATTAAATGGAAGGGTTCCTAGAAATGTGTCAGTGGTATTCAGTGATGCTCATTTACATGCTTGTTTACATTGTATCATACAATTCAATTAACACGTGTATGTACAAACAGTGCTATTCTCTATTCGTTAGATTGCAAGCATTGTTACACCGATGTAGGTAACAGGCATGGTAAGAAGCCGTATTGAGCAGACAGAAAGGCTTCTGACTATAATAGTAAAAATATCATTTACATCTATCAAAAACATTTACATGAGAGGTCAGCTGAAATGAAGCATTGCACAACAAAACTATTTTCAACAAATACAAAAAATGCAACATTAGCCTTGGGTGTAAATGAACAACTCCGGTCTTCCGCGATACCCACATTCATATGACAATACTTACAAATCGTTAGGAACCCTTTACTCATGGCGAATGTTTAACTGAAAAATCCTGGTAGAGTTTTCCGAGTACCGTGATGAGTGACTTTTGCTGTTCCTCACTTCTTCAAAACCAACTTCCTCCCTTTTCTTGCGTCCCCAAGCTCCACTGGGCTCGGCTGACGTAGCCGCTGAGAGTGTGGGGAACATGGCTTCACTGTTTACGTCCGGTGCTGCTCTAGATTTCTGGTTTCTTAAACTTGAGAATGCCACTGGGGGTGGCTGGTTGCGCAAGTTGGGTGGGATGTAGGTTCCCCCGCTCACAGTGCCTCCGCTGCGCAATGGAGCTCTAACTACCTCCTCCTCAGCGGGCTTCTCGGATTCAGCGGGGTTGTCTTGTGTTGGCATTTGGGGAACCTTCCACGGACCCGTATCTTTCCTTCGGGGAACCATTTCACCAGCTTCGTTTTCCTCCATACCGCCTTCATTGTCTTCATCCAATTTGTTTTCAGCTTCATCATTTTCATGCTCGTTTAATGTAATATTCTGAATCTTCAAACCCGTGTAATCCTTTTTCTCTTCTTCAAAATCCCTCCATTCATCCTCCTGAATTATTGTGCCGTTTTCTTCTCCATCTGGACCAGTAGTGTTTTGTAAAGTCTTTTCCTTTTTAGACTTTTCTGTCTTTTTGCCAGTTTCCTCCAGCTTTTTAGCAATTTCATCTGCGGTGGTAAATTTCTTTCCTTTCGACTTTTTCTTATCTTTTTTGGCGAAGAAATCATCCAGATCAGCCATTTTAGAAATAAATTCTTGTAGAATAACTATTATTTTACAAACAAAATTTAATTACTAATAATTTACACCTAACGTCCACATGTACCTTCAAAAGCTACCATAGCCTAAAAGAGACGTCCTCGGGATATACAAACATACTCTTGATTGGCTCACAACATTCGGACGTCTTTAGCTATTTCATCTTTCCATTTTTTTGCGTCCAGAGGGTCTTTTTACATCATTGGTTTCTTATCATGTCCGTTTTACTATATCTTATCACATGTCCCTCCTCTCTTTGGGATCATCTTTTTTTCAGTCTGTTTTTCAACATCATCATCTTGTCTGTTTTTTGCTTCAGCAACTGCGTCTGGTGCTTGAAACAGATTCCTTCGTTCCGTTTTATGCTTGATTCTCGATTCTCTATCTAATTTTGTTGATACAAAGATATTACTGGTACTATATGTATAATTTATTTTTAAATATCACTAGGTTTTCTCCATTCTTATATCTCAAAACTAATTACCAATTAGTGTCAAAGTTTGTTATTCAATCTAATATAATGTAATGCCATGATGTATCAGTTCAGTACAGTCAAATTTCATTATGTTGGGTGTTTATGCTCGTATAATGAACAGAAAAACATTTTTCACTATAAGCTATTATATGTTCATTAAATGCATTTTCAATAGTACAGTATAGTACTGATTAAATACACTCTACATAATCAGGAAATACAATTTTACCTTGTCCTTTTTTAAATTAAATTCTATTCTATTGTGTTTCGAGTTTTGATAGTTAGCAACATTTTGTTTGCATAAGTAAATACAGTGCTCTGACTGTGCTAAAACCAACCGATTCTAAATCAAATTTTAAAATGCACCTTAATCAACAACAATAGAAAATTGTTCAACAGGTTCCAACATTTTAGAGCAGTTTATCGAGATTTTTCAATTTTGTTATAGGTTATGGTAGAACTGAGTGTGGCGCTTCTGGACAACGAACCTGAGTGGTTTCATCTCAGTCCACACGAAGAAGTTCTAATACCACATGTGAGTATTAACTTTACTGTGAATTATCTCAATTCATTACAGTAGACTCCCTCTTATCCGGACACCTTTTAACCGGACATCGGTTTAACCGGAATACACTTGGCGGAAATGACATCTCTTTAACCGGACTATTTTTATCAGCACATTGGTTTAACCGGACTAGATCGGCAGGAAGTGGGCAGTACTGAAACGACTGTTCTCGTGGGAAAGATTTGAGACCAGTGATCACGTGTCTAAATACAATGCTCTCATAAATTTAAGTCGAATATCACAGTAAACAGTCCGTTTTAACGAGTTTTTGGGGACGTCGGCTTAACCGGAAAACCCGTTATCCGGACTGGCCTCGGTCCCGAGGAGTCCGGATAAGAGGGAGTCTACTGTAATTATGTTTCTGAGTTAGATTTTAGATTAGACGCTGACACTCGGTGTAAAGGTGAAGAATGGGAAGATTACTGAAGGATGAGTCTTGAGTTTATAGTTCTGTTTCTGACCAAGATGGTTCTGATTCTTTAGCTTGGACCATTTATAAAAAACCCAATGTAGCTGGGTCCAGTTTTGAATCATCAAAACACGGACCTCTCTCAGGATTAAATCAACAACCTTAGTTCTTAGAAACATTTTCAATATTTTCATCTTTATTTTGCATATTGATCTTAAAGCTGTCAAATAGGCTGTACTCTTTAGAGACTAAAAGATTGATTGATTATACAATAGTTTTTTAAATAATAGTCCCTGTTTTATTGAAGACAAATATTGAATTGAATTTGTCAGTCACAATAAGCGAAAAGCGTGTACTTGTGGACCACATATAGTATATACATGAGCTTCTAGCCCAATTAGTATACAGGGTGAGTTTTTTAAAGTGATCCAATAGCTAACTTTTTAAATACACGACTTAGCACCACACTTTAAATTTGAAACTTGCTCAATTTTAAGTTTCACTCAAGAATACAATTTCAGATTTTTTCATTGTGGCCTCCATTTTCCAATATGGCTGCCAACTTTAAAATTTCTTATGGAACACCCTGTATATTATTTTGTTTTTAGATTTTACTCTAAAAAATAAAACATTTTTGTTCTTGAGATTTTTTCAATATCTCTAACGGTTAAGGAGCTACGAGGACTTAAAGTTTTCATACAAAGTTGCATGAATTCTAAAGCATGTTTTAAAACAATGTTAGTTTTAAGTGTTGTTACTGTTAATACTTAACAATTTGTCCTCGTAGCTCCTTAACTATTAGAGATATTGAAAAAATGTCAAGAACAAAAATGTTTTATTTTTTAGAGTAAAATCTAAAAACAAAATAAAATACAGGGTGTTCCATAAGAAATTTTAAAGTTGGCAGCCATATTGGAAAATGGCGGCCACAATGAAAAAATCTGAAATCGTATTCTTGAGTGAAACTTAAAACTGAGCAAGTTTCAAATTTAAAGTGAGGTGCTAAGTCCTGTAATTAAAAAGTTAGCTATTGGATCACTTTAAAAAACTCACCCTGTATATACACGAGAAATCTAAATTTTCATCAATCTATTCATGATCCTATTTCTTGTTTTTCAAAATTGCCGTTAAATCAAATTGACACTAGTCCAATTCAATAACCAAAAAAACCACCTAAAATCAATTATGAAAGTAGCGCTTTGGTTACATTCAGAGTTAGATTGACAGTTTTACAAAACTGTTACGCCTGAAAAAATGTCAATCAGTAAGAACATTTTATTAATTTAATAACATCTGGAAATTTTACGCAGGCGGTTGAGGATGTTGACATTGCTCTGACGCCCACTGACCACCTATCGCCACCAAGCACGACGTCACGCCTCTCGGACTCCGACCCCTCTGACCTGGACGACACACGGGAGAGGAGAGTAGCGGACGGAGCCTCTGTCAGCAGTCTCGGTAGCTCTGCCAGGTAAGAGGAACAAGAAATATAAATTGTTTGAGATATTATTGCAGACATTTTTTATTACAATTAGAGAAAAAAGTTTTCCTGACATTTGGGATCTGGATTGCGATCCCATCCTCAGGTAAGAAAGCACTTAAAACATAACAAAATTAGTAACCAAACCTAGCCAAGAAAAATTCACAAAACGAGGAGGCAAAACCAGGAACATCAAATAGGAAAACAATCAAATTTATTCATTTTGAGAGATGGGTCTCGCTTGAGTCATCTTGTGTTGGCATGACCATTGTGTGCTGGTGCTCTCATTCTCCAATAGGAAATAATTTGAATTAATTTTAGGGCCTAAGGCATTTCAGAGGACCATGATTAAAAACATTACTTTCATACTTACCACAGTTCAGACCTTAAGCACGAGAGACGAGACCAATATTACAGATCTCTTAAACAGTTTCAATTTTTCAATAGCACATAAATTGGATTAAAAAAAACTACTGCAAACTAAATATCACATCACATTATGTTTCTGCATCCTGAACACTAGATACAATTGAAACATAAAATCTCAAACTGAATGATGAGTCTAACACATGTGTTTTCTAGCCCTCCTCCTGACGTAGAGATGGCAGAGAGACATCGGTCACGTCGAGACATGTCGCCGCAAGGGAGAAAACGAGCCACCGTCGTTCAAGTCAAACCTCACACACTCCCCTACGACTCACAAAGAAGAGTAAGCCTTATTCTTTAGACAAATTTAGTTTTTAAGTTACCTGGAAATACTGTTCAATCTTAAAACAATGTAGCCTTCACGTATTACAGAAATATAAGGTTTGAATTAGAATGGAACTTCAGTCATAGTTAAGCCACTCTGCACAATCGTCTGTATCATCTGTCCTTCCCAGGAGAAACCTGCTGACGACTTATATCTTCTGGTTTTTTTAAATAGCTTTGTAATTTTGTCTATTTCTACGACTTTCAATTTTTTTTTTGTCGAAAAAAATACAAAAATTCATAGGAATGTTAACATTGTTTTACTAAGGGTTACAATTGACAAATGACATCTGGGAGACAAGTATTGACATGCACTAACTTGCATTAAGTGGCTATATACATATTTCTGACTTGTTCTGATAGGGACATATCACTCAACCGGTTTTGAATTGCCATCTCCTTTAATTTTTCACTCCTCAAATTGCAGTCCACAACTATGTAATTGCCAGCCGTTAGAAAAAGTAAAATCTATAAAATATTTAGGAGTTCTACTCGATGAAAAAGTCACCTTCGAACCTCATATATTAAATCTACATGCTAAGATACAAACACAAATAAGAAAATTTTAGGGATGGACGGGATTGAATTTTTAGTTCGGGACGGGACGGGACGGGATTTTTATTTCCTTCCCGATTTTCGGGACGGGACGGGACGGGATTTTTTTCTGTGCATAAAAAGAAAGTACTGTATTACAGTTACCAAAAAAGACATACGAAATCAATTTTTACCATCCGTGGCAATGATCTATAAAAGCCAACAAATGGGTAACAATTTACAGGTACCTATAGTAACTTGTTACTCGGGGGTCACGGGGTGATCGTCTGTATGACTCACGGTCACGGCGCGATCGTCGTCATGACTCGCGATCACGGCGCGATCGTCGGTATGACTCGCGGTCACGGCGCGATCGTCGGTATGACTCCTCGGTCACGGGGTTATCGTCGGTATGACTCCGCGGTCACGGGGTTATCGTCGGTATGACTCGCGATCACGGCATGATCGTCGTCATGACTCGCGGTCACGGAATGATCGTCGGTATGACTCGCGATCACGGCGCGATCGTCGTCATGACTCGCGGTCACGGCGCGATCGTCGGTATGACTCTGCGGTCACGGGGTTATCGTCGGTATGACTCGCGGTCACGGCATGATCGTCGGTATGACTCGCGATCACGGCTCGATCGTCAGCATGACTCCGTCACGGCGCGATCGTCGGTATGACTCGCGGTCACGGCACGATCGTCGGTATGACTCCGTGGTCACGGGGTTATCGTCGGTATGACTCGCGGTCACGGCGCGATCGTCGGTATGACTCGCGATCGCGGCTCGATCGTCAGCATGACACCGCAGTCACAGCGCGATCGTCGTCATGACTCGCGGTCACGGCGCGATCGTCGGTATGACTCCGCGGTCACGGCGCGATCGTCGGTATGACTCCGCGGTCACGGGGTTATCGTCGGTATAACTCGCGGTCACGGCGCGATCGTCGGTATGACTCTGCGGTCACGGGGTTATCGTCGGTATGACTCGCGGTCACGGCGCGATCGTCGTCATGACTCGCGGTCACGGCGCGATCGTCGGTATGACTCGCGGTCACGGCACGATCGTCGGTATGACTCCGCGGTCACGGCGCGATCGTCGGTATGACTCTGCGGTCACGGGGTTATCGTCGGTATGACTCGCGGTCACGGCATGATCGTCGTCATGACTCGCGATCATGGCGCGATCGTCGGTATGACTCCGCGGTCACGGCGCGATCGTCGGTATGACTCCGCGGTCACGGGGTTATCGTCGGTATAACTCGCGGTCACGGCGCGATCGTCGGTATGACTCGCGATCACGGCTCGATCGTCAGCATGACTCCGCGGTCACGGCGCGATCGTCGTCATGACTCGCGATCACGGCTCGATCGTCGTCATGACTCGCGGTCACGGCGCGATCGTCGGTAGGACTCCGCGGTCACGGCGCGATCGTCGGTATGACTGCGGTCACGGGGTTATCGTCTGTATGACTCGCGGTCACGGCATGATCGTCGTCATGACTCGCGATCACGGCGCGATCGTCAGTATGACCTGCGTTCGCGGACCTATCGCTCGCAATAACGGCGTTATCGGCACTCGCGAAGCGGAAAAATCGCCGACGATCGGACCAAATCCCGTCCCGAAAAATTCCCGAGTCAAATGTAATCCCGTCCCGATAATCGGGAATATTTTTTTCCCGAAAAATTCCCGAAATTTCGGGACCCGTCCATCCCTAGAAAATTTTATTTTTTAAGAAATTTTTGTAACGAATCACTTTTGAGAACATTATACTTTGCACTAATCAACTCAAGATTGCAATATGCCTTGCCATGCTGGGGAGGAACTTATAAAACCTTGATAAATAGATTAAGAACAACACAAAACTTTTTTATACGGATAATTTTGAAACAACCTAAAAGAAGACTGTTTTTTGTTCGAAGTGGAAACAGAGTTAACGTCATACCAAATATTACACACACATACATAACAAGAAGCATTACCAATAATACTCTGAAACTACCCAAAGTAAATAAAGCTATTTTTCGTCACTCTTTTCAATATCTAGGTCCAAAATACTATAATTATCTACCACTTCAAATAAAGAATAGTTTAAATTTAAAGCATTTTAGCAAAGCAACGATAATTTGGCTTTCTTCTCAGCAGGACATAAATTATATCAATAATATCCTGTTGTAATAACTTTCATTGTTTATTTAAACAGTTCTTGTTTTGTCCATCAGATGCACAGTTCAGGCGGAATTCAATGTTTTATAACAGATGCTAGACCATAAATTACAACGTCATGTTAGCCGATAAGTTAGTATAAGCAAACTGGTTACACTACTGGATCAAGTAGCCAGTTCTATTTCTCTACATCTCATGTATTGTTACATTGTGGTTTTTTGTGGGAAATAAACTCCATTATTCCATTATTATTATTATTATTATTCCATATCTGATCCTTTTTTTTCAATCTAACACATTATTTGGTGTCCCTAGGGAGGCAGTAATCAGAGATCACACTCTGCTGCACCTCCTCTCGAAGGTCGGTCTCGCTCTAAGAGTCCTCACCGCAGCCTATCACCTCCTGAGTATCGGTAAGTAGTTGGAGGAATTATACAGATGGTGCCTGTAAGTGTTGGTTGGATATAGTCCTAAAACATATATTCTATGCTAAATACCTTTAGTAGTTTGGGTATTACTTATTTTGGGTCATAAGACCCATGGCTCCCAAAACTAATAATTCCCCGACTACTGTTTTAAGACGTAAGTAATCTAGTCTTACAATACTGTTTTAAGACTGAAGACGGAAAAAGGTATGTAACCTATCATATTTTCGTACTAATCAGTCTTGATGGTAAGAATCTTGCATGTAGTCTTGATGATGTAAAAGTACTTCTTTTCATTCAGTTGACATACTCTAACAAAAACTACTTTGAACTTTGATAGTAGCCAAACCCTTAATTTAAATATGTATACTGAAAAATATATAGGTTTAATGATATCAATAGAAAACCGATTACATTGACATGTTGGAAATATCTTTTGGGAAGTAAGGTGTTTCTCAAGTGGCTTGACTGACATCTTCATCTCCGCCTCGGCAAGTCACTGAGCTTTTCTCTTTAAAGCAAGGAAGGACAATCCCTCGAGCAGCAACCTTCAACTGATATAGTTGACATTGGTATCCTCTATGACACTATTTGTGTTTGCAACCCAGCTAATGTAGATCTTTCACTAAAAATTCCAAAGTGACTTCCTAAATGTACCTCAGGTTTGAAACCACCCCAGACTTAAATATGAAACAATCTGTAGGCTTCAGATTATCTGAAACTCAATATATGTTTGGATGTGCAATAACTGTTAAATTTAAATTTAAATAATTTATTGGTGAGCATTGTATGTGTTAGGCCTATTCAATAAAAAAAAAAACAGGCATTTTTTGTTTACTTCCGGTATCTGTTCCCAAGACGGTTTCTGTTACCAAGACATTATTTTTCATATCATCAGCAACTTGCCGTTTTTTTACCCCTTGCTATTCTACTTTTAATGTGGCTTAACCTTCAGAACATTACCTACTCCTGATTTATGTTTTCTTGCTATTCTTACTTTTTATATTATTTTTTAAAATGAAGAAATATTCCGGTGAAAAACAATGACAGTTTAACAGTAGATTCTTACTAGTAAATATCATTTAGTCTGCTGAGACCTTCTGTTCTGTATCCTCTGATGAAATTTTTAACTTAAGACAAAAATTGCAGTGTAATTCTAATAAGAAACGTGTGGCAAAGTTGGGTAAGATTAGCTCACTGCAATCACAAAAATTGTAAAGATATTGCTATTGCTTTTGAAAGACTACTTTTTCACACAGTTGGTTTTCAATTTCAGAGTATACCAGCCGAATGTAGTGCTTCCATCCCACGCGTATGTGCCTCGCTTTTCCTCCAGATCAGCCACCGCTACCCCGATGACGTCTCCCAAGAAACGTCAACTGCCTCAGATACCCCACACAGCAATGCTCAGAGAAGCTCTCCGCGAGAGAGTCACACAGGTCTGTTCTAATTTATGAATTTTGAGTTACCACTCAACTCGAGATCTAGTATTTGGATAAAGTCAAGTACTCTCCCACCCCTAGAATTTTGTCAAATCGTAACATGAATCTTAAATTGATATTTTGTTTATTGAAGACGGAAGATAAGTACTTTGAGGTGATTTTAGATAAAGAATTAGGCCTAATATTGAGTTGTGTAGTACTTGGGTTGGATGAGATTATACTTGTAGTTCCCGGACGAGATATGAATTCCTTTCTGATGTTTCGGACGTTAACAAAAAAGGATTATTCTTTCCTGCGACAAGAAAATCTTTTTTATATTGAAAATTCTTTAAATTGACCTAATTACAAACAAAATACATAATTAGCATTTATTAACACAGTTTTATTTCATCAAAACATTAATCCTTGATCGCAGAACTATCGTTATTGTTCCTCACAATCCCAGAGACATCTCTCGTAGTAATAGCTGGAAAATCGTGAGCATCTCCAGCTAACGCAGACACTCAAGTTTGCTATTGCAGTAAAATGGCTAACATTTGAAACAAATTTGGTTCTGGCCTGGGTAAATCCTACATTTAATGTAATCCTGACCAAAGATCAATATATATTTTACCAGAAAATTTTCCAAAAACTTAGGACCTGTCTATTTTATTTATATATTTAACACATCTATTTCGGTGATAAAATGTAGTTGCTGTTGTTGCAACTAGTTTCAGTTCACATTAGGGATGGACGGGTCCCGAAATTTCGGGAATATTTCGGGAAAAAAATATTCCCGATTATCGGGACGGGATTACATTTGACTCGGGAATTTTTCGGGACGGGATTTAGTCCGATCGTCGGCGATTTTTCCGCTTCGCGGGTGCCGATAACGCCGTTATTGCGAGCAATAGGTCCGCGAACGCAGGAGACGAAGTCATTTCGACGATTACGCCGTGACCGCGGAGTCCTACCGACGACCGCGCCGTGACCGCGAGTCATAACGACGATCGCGCCGTGACCGCGAGTCATAACGACGATCGCGTCGTGACCGCGGAGTCCTACCGACGATCGCGCCGTGACCCCGGAGTCCTACCGACGATCGCACCGTGACCGCGGAGTCCTACCGACGATCGCGCCGTGACCGCGAGTCATACCGACGATCGCGCCGTGACCGCGGAGTCCTACCGACGATCGCGCCGTGACCGCGAAGTCCTACCGACGATCGCGCCGTGACCGCGGAGTCATACTGACGATCATGCCGTGATGGTGGAGTCATGCTGACGATCGAGCCGTGATCGCGAGTCATACCGACGATCATGCCGTGACCGCGAGTCATACCGACGATAACCCCATGACCGCGAGTCATACCGACGATAACCCCGTGACCGCGGAGTCATACCGACGATCGCGCCGTGACCGCAAGTCATACCGACGATCGCGCCGTGACCGCGAGTCATACCGACGATTGCGCCGTGACCGCGAGTCATGACGACGATCGCGCCGTGACCGTGGAGTCATACCGACGATAACCCCGTGACCGCGAGTCATGACGACGATCGCGCCGTGACCGCGAGTCATACCGACGATCGCGTCGTGACCGCGAGTCATGACGACGATCGCGCCGTGACCGTGGAGTCATACCGACGATAACCCCGTGACCGCGGAGTCCTACCGACGATCGCGCCGTGACCGCGAGTCATACCGACGATTGCGCCGTGACCGCGAGTCATGACGACGATCGCGCCGTGACCGTGGAGTCATACCGACGATAACCCCGTGACCGCGGAGTCCTACCGACGATCGCGCCGTGACCGCGAGTCATACCGACGATCGTGCCGTGACCGCGAGTCATGACGACGATTGCGCCTAGACCGTGGAGTCATACCGACGATAACCCCGTGACCGCGAAGTCATACCGACGATCGCGCCGTGACCGCGAGTCATGACGACGATCGCGCCATGACCGTGAGTCATACAGACGATCACCCCGTGACCCGCGAGTCACAAGTTTCTATAGGTACCTGTAAATTGTTACCCATTTTTTGGTTTTTATAGATCAGTGCCACAAATGGTAAAAATTGATTTCGTATGTCTTTTTTGGTAACTGCAATACAGTACTTTCTTTTTATGCACAGAAAAAAATCCCGTCCCGTCCCGTCCCGAAAATTGGGAAGGAAATAAAAATCCCGTCCCGTCCCGTCCCGAACTAAAAATTCAATCCCGTCCATCCCTGGTTCACATGGAACAATCTTCAGGAATCAAATGGGGAAAATCATTGCTTCTTTGGAATATTATCATAAGGTTGTAAACCAGTATTGTTGATTTTTGTCAAGCAAGTTTATCACCTTAACAGATCCAACCCTAACAACCTAAGGTTAATCCCATTAGTCTTTTAACTGATTACAGAGTGTCTTTGTGTCTAACTCTTATGGGTAATTGTCCCTCTGTTGTGTCAGCAGGACATGGAGGAGCGAGCACATCTCATGAAGCAGAGAATGAGACAGATGCAGTCTAGAGGGTCAGCGGGATACACAGGTAACTGTACACATTTTTATTTTATACTCGAGGGAACCTGAGAGATTTTACTCAAAAATTAGACAAAAAATCTAACAAATTGATCAAATCATCTCCATAACTAAGTTGAAATAGGAGTGTTGCACAAAGTTCAAATGTCACAACGTTTAATGATATAAGTCAGTGTCACGACATTAAAATATAATTTTTGAGCTGTCTCACAAAGACCAATATTATTTGACTGTTGCACAACGTCCAAATCTTATCATGTCCAAAAGTACAGTAACTGCAAGAAACACATAAGCTTTGGACGTCATAAGATTGGTCGTCGTGCAACAGCATTTTTTATACTCTTAAAAACTTAGCAGTAGTACCACGTCCAAAGTGCTGCCAGTTGCTTCGACTGCAGACGTCGAGCCAGTTGCCAGTTGCAGACGTCGAGAGCTCCTGCAAGGCTAGATTAGGTTAAGTTAGGTTAGGAAGGTTTAAAACATGGGTAACAGCTAGTTTTTCAAATAAAAAAAATCTTATGTATGTACATAGTAACATAGTTTGGGTTTTTTAATTTAAATATAAATATAAAAGAAAGAGTTGATGAACTTCCAACTTTGATTTGCTTTAATTCTCCATTTATTTAATTGTGGGTTGAAGTTGAGACTTAATCAGGCATACTCGTCTACCATCTATCAAGTCAGTCCGTTTATTCCTCAGTTCCAGTCTCTCAGTTCTAGATTTGATAATGTGAACACAATGGCTCATATGAACGGGTTCTTTAGTCAGTATGATCAGAATAACTCGTTTGAATCGAAATAACCCTGACTGAACGATTCACCTTTATTTCAAAGTGTGTTATTTCCCAGGGAGCATGTCGAGGCACTTCACCGGCCTGTCTGACAGCGACCTGCCGTCGTCTGACATGGACAGGCCGTGGGGTGGCCACATCCCCGGCCGCACGATGACTTCACTGGACAAGGATATCATCGGGACGACGGACCTGGGCGATAGCGACCTTGAGAGTGTCGTCAGCATCACTAGCAGTGCCTTCTCTACACAGAGCGAGCGACCTCGCGGCTCACGGGGCTTCAGGTATACCACCACTAAAAATTCATACATTGCCAATACAGAAGTCTAGCATGTAAAAGGCTCTGGTATATAACAAGTAAACGATGTAGCACAGCTCTGAAAGCAATGTTACGACAGGTTTTGTAATGTTTAGTTTACATAACACACTAAAATTTAGGATTTCTGTGAGGACAGCATGCTGACCTAAATGGGGGTCTACTCTGTCCCAAGAAACACAACACTTTACACTATACGCAAAAATTAAAATGTCTTTGTTACTGCAGCATTTTAATCTAGGAAGGCTTGAGTTGGAGAGATAGTTGGACCTGAAGACATCTCTTCACTTGGTCTTCGATTCTTAGGCTGTGGAATCCTAACATAAATATTTACTAAACGTATCTTTATATCCATGAACTTGGAATAATAAATTAGAGTAGATTCAATGTAACAATTCATGAAATTTACTATTCGTTTATTATTTTTCATTGAATCAATGTTTAAATGATTTTAGGAAATGTTCGTGGAGTATACATGCTTTTGTTGATGTTAATAGCAGTGAGAACTTTTTAATTCACACAGAATACTTATTTTATTGACTGTAAAACGAACCATTCACTCAACAATCAGTAATGTTTAACTCGGTTAACCCGACTCCATCTTCCTCACTGCTTACTTTCAAAATAACACTCATTGATAGCCTCTTACCTTTTGTAGAGATTATGAATCATCATTATACTGTGGTAAAATATGGTGATCCCTGCAAAAATTGCTCAAGTGAGTTTTTACTTATTTTTGTTTCAGCACTAAAACGCGAGATTCCTTTACTGGTAGCCCTAGTACTTGTAGTTTGTGTAAAGTAAAGAGTTGTGTAAGCAAACCGTTGTTCCGTAGACAGAACTCACTCCCCAACCCGGGTATCTCACACCCTGTACGAGTAAGGTTGATCTGTGATAAGCATGCCTTGCATGAGGCTCCATATTGCAACGTGCTGCAATCGGACAGTGACGTGTCTAAAACTATTCATGACAACGACGATTCGTTTCACGAAAAATACTTGGAAAGTTGTAAAATTGTTTCAAACTGGGACAACAACTTTAAAGACATAAACTTTGACTCAGATTGTGACTGTTCTGTCCCGGTTTGCACGTTGAACGACACGTCAAGTTCCGAAGAACTGGCGAACGAGAAACCACTAACGGTGTTAAAGAAAACCAGGTTCAAACTCGACGATTGGAGACGAGACTCGGACATAACAGACGACCTTTACGAAGTCGTGGACAATCAGGGGGAAAGTGAGACGAACGTAGAAAACAACCAACCAGGTGTGTGCAAACCCGAGGAAAACAAAGATAGCTCTGAGATAAATTGTGAAGACGAAAAAACAAGTGATAACGTTAAAGTAGAAGTTGACCACCCTCCTGATGACACTCTCCTCAGCCCTTGTAAGACCTCTGACACTCCCACCCCAGACTCCCCCAGTCACAAACGTATGTTTCTCAGATGTAAATCACAAGTTGAAGTTGAAGTTGAACCCTCTGTCACCCCTCCCTCTGCTTTGCCCCCTAGCGACTACGGAGAGCGATCTCACACGACGGTACAGCCGCCACCACAAGGGGGACACAACAAGAGGCCGCCGTTCTCTAGAAGTCTCTCGAACGCGGACGTCCAACCAGACGAACGTGGTGGTGAGTGTTCCGGCATCGTTGAGATTAATAATTTTAATAATATTTATTACTGACAGTTAGAAGAAAGAAATGTAATTGTTATTTTAGCCTCAGTTGAGATATGGTAGTGTATGCAATTATTAATTATTAATGTATATAAAAAAAATAATGAAGTAAAACGTCAGTAGTTATGCACATTCTCCAAATATGTATTAACTTTTTTAATTTAAATACCCATGCCGCAGCAAACCTACAGACTAAGCAAGTAAAGCTGTAACAGACTAAATAATTACCACTCAGAAGTTATGCAGACTGTTTGTCAAAATAAAATACTGGTTAAAAAACACCTGTTTATGGGGTTTGATAAAACTCACAAAAATTGTAATAATAGTATCAAGTTTATATATTTTGTATATAGTCAAAAAGAGTCTTATAAAACTTGTCTTTTTACACCTTTGCTATCATTAGTTTATTATATTTATGCTATCCTATTTATGAATTACGTTTACTGTTAGATACTGAATCCCATCAAACGGAACAACTGTAGCCAATTTTTATAAAAAAAAATTTTTTGATTGAGCCACTCACAAGAAAGTGATAATGGCTCTATTTTTCCTCTTTTAGTGTTGCTTCCTGTGATAGGAAATGTAGCCTAGAACAATAAGTAGTTTATTCAAATCAACTTGGTCAAGTTGGTGCGTTTGACAGAAATCAGTACACACTGCCAGAGGCTCAAAACTGGCTACAACTTAGACATGGGAACAGAATGTCTACTTGTATCCATGATCAAAGATGTTGATCAGTGTTTACCTGTTGCAGACGGAAGTCTAAGTGACACAGCCGTCAGTCATCATCACCATATCAACGGGTCTCGCCGCAAAGCAGCGTCGGGCAGCGGCTCTGGCACGACGAGCGGCAAACAGTCGCACAGTCAAGGCATGGGCAAGAAGAGCAACTCTACCAGCCAACTGTCGGCCACAGGTATGCTCAGACCCGCAGACAATGCAAGTGAAAGTGTGTGTGTAATAGAGTGTGTTGGAGTAACTATATGGTCTCAAGTTGGAATTATAATGTACTGTAGAAATCATGAAACATTAAGGAAAACTGTTTGTAAGCTTTTCCAGCCTAACTGGTTTTTTAGGCTAGCAAAGTCGACTAGCAATTTTTCTTAGTATGTGTGGATGAAACATATGCAAGTTCTATCAAAAGTAAGATTTCCCAAGATTTTTTTTATTTGACTGCTGTTTTTTTTTAATTTATCAAATAAAAGTCACTTTGGGATAAAGAATGAGATATCAATTCAGAAAGCCTTATTTTTTTAAATTACAAGTTCTGATATTCGCTTAAGTTCATAAATTATCTAGAGAGTATGGATGAAAGACTGCATACTCTAGGAAGGGTTTCAAGTTTCAATAAAAATGAACATGTTTGACATCTCTTATTGTGTTGGTTCAGGCCGCAAACGTAGGTTAGGTTTCGGAACAAAAGGCAAATCGTCGTTCACCGTTCATCGGTCCGAAGAGGTGCTGCCCGACGAAGTGCGACATTTGATCAAGCAGGGTTCATCTGTGTCGAGCGACGGGGAGGGCTCGCAGGACGGAGACAGGTCCTGACTTGCACTAACACGTCCTGCCAAACAAACTGCAAACAAAGAGTAAACTCTCACTACCATGACCCAAAACTGTTATAGTCCTTGCCACCCTAACTTGAGGCAGCCCAAGGCCGCACTAGATATACGGCGTGCGGCCTTGGGCTGCCTCAAGTTAGGGGGGCGAGGACTATAGTGTGATGATTATTCGTTTTGTTTGATGATTTTTTTATAAAAAAAGTAACCAATAGGAATTTTTCATGATGTTTGGTAGGAAAATAGTAATTTTTTATTCACGGTAACCTTCATATAATTCTTAAAAAAGTTCACTAAAATGTTTTTTTTATCGATATATATTTTTATTTTCAAAGAAATTAAACAATTAGTTTTACTTTTTCATTACCTTTTTTTATCAAAAAATTTTAATTACTAATTTTATGTGTGAATATATTTTTAATCAAACATAACAAAAACCCTTCCTTTCTCAATGAATGATCTATAAGTAAAAAAAAAAAACTAATCTACCATCTGACCAAAAGTTTTTTTTTAGGAAAACTTCAAAATTATAGTTTAGTTAGATTAAAAAATATCTACACTGAAATAATGATAATATTGATCACAATATTCAGTATATGAACATCTTTCATGACAATCTTAATAAAATCAATAGAATTTATGATCTCAGCGTCTAATTTAAATGCCAAATAATCTGATCAGATTGGTCTACACAAATTCTCAATAATAGATTGTTTGCTATTGATTAACATTGCGGTTTTTTCTGTAGAGTTACAGCCAAAATTGTAATGTTTCAACTCGTTTTGTTTCGCTAAAATCAATTGAATCCAAGTATGGTTTCAAATCATGAGTTTGTTTGCAGTTTATTGGTTTTTAAATATCCTTATAAAAGAATGAAGACCAATTAACGCGAGAGTGAAAATCTTGAGGGAAGTTCTTCAAATTTAAATGATCTGAGGACCAATTTTCTTTGTGTGTATCCGTGATTCGTTCTACGTACGTTTTCAGGTGTGAGTGGTTGTATTGTACAGTTTTCTATCATTGTGATGTGATCTGTGTTTGCGACTGACATTTCCAATTACTTTTTTTCTTCTTATTACTTTTTTCCAGACGGTCAATTAAGGATGATTTCCATTTCTATGTTTCTTTTGTTAAATCAATAAATTGTAAAAACTAATTTTCCAAAAAATACACATTAATTTTTTTAAATTTAAACACCCAAAATTCATTATACATTAAAACTTTGTATTTTCTTTGATACTTGTAAGTATAAAGGTACACTTGAACCTACATTGAACGTTGTTATAAGAAATGGAATGGTTACCTGATAAACTTACTTAAAAAAAAAACAGTTCCAGTTGATACTGTTGATTATCAACATCTTGGAACTCTTTTCTTAGGTGAATTAGTTGTTTATCCATTCCTTCTTTCTTATTGTATTCATAAACCAAGTGGTGTTCCCCCCAAAAATTTAAGTAATTTTTGGCATTTCAATATTTGAAGAGAGTATTACATATTGGTTACAGCCATTATATGCTCATTAAACGAAAATAGAATACATTTTCTTTAAAACCAACCCCAACTATAGTTTATTCGTTGAAAAAATGACTAACCTTTCTGTCCAACACTTTACCTAAACATTACAAATCTTGCCCTGTAGAAACTGGTAATAATCTTTTCATTCGGTTCGGAATTTAAGTTTTTTAAGTGTTTTTTGCATAGTAGTAGAATGACCTGTTGTTGCACTTTGTCCATCTCTTTTATAAATTTTCTGATCATTTATCAAATAAAATTTAAAAAAACAGTTGTGAACAATTCTATCTGCAAATGTTGTATTTGTAATAAGATCTTTTTTTTAGCTTCTACGGCCAATGATCAAACTCTAACTAACAGGGTGCCTACAAACTAATTTCTATGTTCTATGTGACTCTTCTCCCCCCCAAAGATCACCTGCAATGAGCAGAGTTTATTCAGTTTGCATAAGGAAAATTTGTTAGATTTCAAATATCGTACATTGATCATCAAATAAATGATGAAAGTGTATAAACATTTGTACAATCTCTTTTACATTCAATACTTGGTTTATGAACAAATATATTTTCTTTCCCTTTGTTACTTTAGGTAAAATATTAAACTGGTTTTAAAATAATAAAAAAAAAATAGTTTACCTAAACCATCCTGGTATAAGAAATAGACAAAATTTACGCTGTACAAAAAAACTGAAATATTCCACTGTCACTGACAGGATTTTGAAACAAGCAAGTTTTCAACTAAAATTTCCCTTGGTCGAGACAGTGAAATATTCTACGTTTTGTTTTTCTTGTGCCAGGATGGAACTTTTCCACTCAGGCAAGCCTAACTTAGCCTTTGTGCTCTACCTTAAGAGTAACAGAGCGCAACTAAAAGGCACACCAAAAATTACCTTTAGAGTTTTCAGTGATTCTGGTGACTATCATTGTAAAATCAGTGACTTTTCAGTGAGCCTGAATGTAACACGTTAGATTACAGTTGCAATCATTCAATGTTGGAATGTTATCTGTCGGACTGTCTGGATCCTCAATGTATCTGGTTGTTTTCCTCTTGTACAACTCCCTCGCCAGCTTGACTGTTTCATATCCTTCCCACTTTCTGTGTTCATGTACGTGTTCTTACAGGATTCTATCCTCGTTGGTCTGTATGCAATGCTAATTCCTTGGCTCATGAACGTATCTTTAGTTTTGATCGGGGCAGCACTGACTACTGGATTTGGATTAATACAAGTGTGACAAACGAAAATAGTAGAGGCGGCTATAGGGTTTGAGTGAACATGTTTTGTGTTTTTCACTAGGATATTTAACTGAGCTTTTATGATTTTTTGTAAGATTTTAATATTTTTAGTGTAGGTTATGAATTTTTGCAATTTGAAACTTAGTTAAGGCTTTTTGCATTTTGATTGCTAGGAATACAAGTAATTTTGATTGAATATTTTTAAATACGGAGTATGTTTGAGAATATTAAATGTCTTATTTTGAAAACATGAAAGAGGTTGTGTGCTCTTTCTGATAATTTTTACTGTTTTTTGAACTTATTTAATGCTTTAAACTGTTAAGTATCCTTTTTCTAACTACATTTATTTTAATTTAGTTTGTAAAAATCTCTCAAATCATTTAAATTAACTTTTTTACATTTTTATGAATAAATATTCCGTTGTGTAAATTTATTGAATGAGAAATTTAAGTGTTGAAATATTAAATTGTTAATAATTGTAATTGCCCTAAAAATTCTTCTTTACTGTTATTTAATGGCCTTGATTTAAAAAGTATAGCTCCAATTTTAACTTTGAATAAAATGAAGGAGATAGTTCCCAAACTAAGATTAGAGATTCGTGCATTGAAAGTACTTAGAAGTATATTTAATTTAAGTTGAGGGTATACTAACATCAACTTGACTGAGATTTGAGTTGTACCATTGAGTTTTGGATACTATAGTTCGGCCGCTTAGAAAACGACCTGCGCGCTAATGCTAAACCAATGCTGGAGGAGGTCGCTTTCTAAGCGGCCGAACTATAAAGTAGATATCCCATCTATATAAACCAGCTGTAGCTAATTTTCTATTTAAAAAAAAACAGCTGAATGAGCCACTCACAGATAATGCTTTCTAAAATTCCATTTCTCTCTTCATTTTTTCATGACATAAACAATCGTATAGTTTACCAAGAAATGTCATTTTAGTTAAGCTTAGAGAAAAAATTGGCGTATTTGACACAATTTGAGGTTATTTACATCAGCACAATCTGTTGGTGACTCAATTTAACCTCATTTATTTCTCTAAAACTGGCTACAACCTTAACATGGAAATGGAATGTCTAGTGGTTATCCATAGTCAATGGTTGTACATAGAGTTATGCTAGGATGAGTGAGAGAGTGAGAGTGTTACTCTGTGTAGAGGGAGGTCGACGGGGGGGATTCGCTCGCTCACATGAGGTCTCCCCCCTTCCCGTTCGTCAATCGAGCAGTCACAGCATTTCTAGTTCTGACGGCTCTTCGTAAGTAGGCCATCGGATCACCTCCACCCTCCCCATGCCAGCTAACTAATACAAACACTGTTAAACCAAATTGTAAACAAATAAAAATAATTAATGTAGACAAAATGTAATAACACAGTTTAAACATAATATTTCTAATTAAATTCACTTTTGATTTAATTTAATAAGTAATTTTAATTAGCTAAAACTAACTCAAGTTGCGTAAATAATTTAAATTTTATAAATAAATTGTATGATATTTGTCACAATGAATTGACATATGTAATGGTTTTAACCCTATGCAATCTGAAATAGGAACAATTTTAATCTTTGTCCAGCTGTATTGACAACGTTCTTTTGCACAGTTTGAAATTTCACATTGGCCTGACTCAATTGGCCAGTGGTACTGCCCAACATAAAAACATTCGCTCAGCAACGTAGCTACTCCTGGATAAATCTTGTTTTTCAAAAATTTGTTATGAAGTGGTAATACCTAGTGAGCAAACTTTTAACTGTAATAAAACTCAAAGTTGGTGAGAAGAAGTTTCCGATTCTGAGCAGTACACAGAGAAATTTGGCAGATACAGCTGATATTGAAACAATTCAACTCTGTTTACGTCAATGACGAGGCCAGTACGACTGGCCAACTGAATGCCAAGGGTTAATATACCAACAATCACAATCTTTAAGTAATTATATAACTACTTCTAACAAACTATTAATCTTAATATGTGAAGATTGTACTTTTTCGCTTTTGAAAAACATACATAACATACATAAATTTGACGCTGTAACATTTCTTGATGAAATTGTAATAAAGAAATTGTTTATTGTCTAATCAGTTAACTGTAACTAAAGCAAATATAATGCATAAACCAGTGAATGTGCTAACACCTCAACTCCCACAATGTGATATCTTGGTGTAAAGTGGCTGCACTATCGTCAAACGCACTGTGTTCTTGTGTTGGTGGTGGTGCTATGAAGCATGATCTCTATGTTTTCATTATAAGTACTCGTACCTCTTTGTTTTCAATTTTTATATGCTATGTGGCATCGAACACTTCACAGTTGACCTCTCCGCAAAGCAATGTTTCTCGCACTGTATAACACTCACTATTCATTTGTGTAATCCGAACTTTGGTTTTGTAAAGAAACCGACGTCGTCATGAACCGCAAGACTTGGAAGGTTAGGCATGAGGTTTTGAACTGCCTAAATGGGTATGGAAAACGATTGTGGGATTGAAAATGTTTAGAATAAGAGACATTTGAATTTGTATTTCTTATACACTTAGGATATCAAAAAGGGGTGATAAACATCCATACTAACTGATAAAGAGTTAAACTAACTTTTAAAAAAGCAGTGTTCTCTATTCATTGGCTCTATGTTTAATCATTAGATAAGATTATTAACATAAAAAAATATAGTTACAATTTTAAATGAACTATTATATTATAATACAATGAACCAACCACATTTATATGGAAACTATCCAATGCACATAGCTAAAACTTCAGTCTGATAAATGCCTTTTTCGTTAACCCATTCCATGTTACCGGTACATCACTAGATTTAAACAACAAAGAAGATAATGAGAAAACTAAATACAATATTTCAGCTCTAAAAAAAATAATGTTTTATTCATAAAGAGAAGTGCCAGGGGACCGAGCATTGCTCAGTGGTGTTATTTTTGATTGGGACGTTGCCCAAGCCGCCACAGTTTTGTGCTAGGCCTACAGAAAATGTAATTTTGATTCTAAACCAACTAATTGCAATTATAAATCCACTCTTTAACATATTGAAATGTAGTATACCTAAATTAATAAAGTCAAAATAGTTATTAAGCACTGAACATAAACCCTCCGAATACTCTATATGGTTTTAGTCTGGGAAAATTTAGTTTCAAAGGCTAAATTTAAGTTTGTGAGAGAAAAAATGTCATATCCTCCATTTTTAGCTCTAGAGGTTTGTTTTATGTGCTTGAATGTTTTAGGCCATTTTATTCTCAGTGCGTAGAATGATTTAAATATCGTAAATAGACATACAGTAAATGAAACATAAAAATCACTTCCAGTATTTAATTGATTCAAATAAACTACAACTGTGAAAATTTACAGCTTTGTTGCTTCTGTGGTTTGACTTTTGTTGTTTTGCCTCTAAGTGTTGTTGCATTTTCTGTCGTACAAGTGTGGAAAGGCAGCAGAGAAGACTGGAAGGTTACGAAACCAGACAAAAAACTCGTCAAAAATGTATTCCTAGTTTTGTGAAGGTAGTGCATGAAATTGAACAGGAGTGCTGAAGTTTCCGGTAAACGATGTAGATTAAATCTTAACCCCGAAGCTATCGAACTCGATGACTACCATCTTGGCCACTAGCATCCACAAAATCTACGCTCAACTAGCACGTGAATGCACAATCTTTTCTGTCTATCCCTACGGAATTGGTCTTCATTCTATCTCTATCTATCTTTCTTTACTCTATGTAGTGTCTAGTATTAGTTAGCCTTAATATATCTAAAACATTTCTGTGTATTTTATTCTATAACTTGTTTTTGTGTTTTAGACATAGTGTATTTATAGTGCATTGGATCTGTATTGGTAATGTTTTACTATTACGTAACGCTAAGTTGAATAGGACGAAGTGAAAAATCTCGAAACTACATTGAATGGTTAAAAGGATTTTTTTAAATTTGTTTAGTAAAAACTAAGCAAAACTTGCTAATTTGAACTTTTAAGATAAATTAACTGCAATTTATAAGTTGAATAGCATAAACTAAATTACTGTTGGAAGCTATACAAACCCTGGCTAAAATTTATTGCATGACAAATTTTTGTAAAAAGAATTTATTAAACAAAATTTTAATCTCTTTGCTTTTGGCTTCTGCATCCATTAAAACACTACTCACATGCAAATGTATGTTGTAAATTTGAGTCTAAATGATTCATTTACTCGTATGAAATGAAAAAAACATATTGTACTATTGGAAGACAAAGATGAGAAATTTAACTATTCAACAAGGATTGTCAGAAGCAGAATATATAAACATAAAAAAAACAATAATTTAATGTATATAAAAATTTTACATTCAACATTATATAAAAAGTTGTGTTAAGTATCCAACAAATTGCAATAAACAATTAAATGTAGAAATAAATTATATTAATCATACCTTAAACTCGTTGGTTCCACATTCTTGAATGTAATATATCGATGATACTTTTAAATTATTCATTTTATAAATCTTTTGGACATTTTGTTCAATATTTTTTATTAGTGTTGAAGTACAGTAGTCTGCACAAGTATAACTTAGAGAAAAGGACATTTTCAAACAAAAAAAAATAAAATAATCAGAATATAGATGCTTCTCCCTTAAACATTAATCTGATGAAGAATCAGTAAAGGTTTGCAGATTTCCCTCTATCATAATGTATAATTAACACCTTAATTTTAATCTACAGGAAACCCCCAAATATCTGGCCTCGGAATTTCTGGTCCTCGGTTTATCCGGTCACGTTCCAGAATCGGTACCAAAAATATTACCCATGGCTGTACACGTAGTCTCCATGATTTTAGCGTTCTTACGGTTTATCTGTTTCCTGTTCATACATATTTTTAGCGGGTTGACTACTCAGTTGAGCTACTAGATTCCCAAAAGAGACTCAAACACTACTTTGAAACAATCACAAGTTGTTATTAGATACGAATTATCATTTTAATAATAGGTTGGTTTATTCGGCCAGGGGCTCAGTCCCACGTAGGCCAGATATGAGGGGTTTTACTGTAGTAGGTTTGCATAGGCAACTGGCCTGACTGTAGTTTTGTTCAATTAATGTACACCATTATTTTTCTTTGAAAGATTGCTGTACTATATACAATGACTGCCAGTTTATTTTGGAATCTTAGTATATAATGTACAGAATAATAACATCCCATACTTGAGTGATTAGAACCACATCAAATGTGAGTTTTTACAAAAGCTGAAATTTAAGTTAACTTTAATTATTTTCCAAAACATCTTAAAACAATGTTGTGTAATGTGTTATGGTGTTGAGGGAGCAAGCTGGTCTAGTAGATGGGCACTGGGCTTTGGGACTTCACACGGGTTCACGGGCTATGATTTGGTTGACTATGGGTTGGGACTAGATCTCGGGTTCAAATCCTGCCAACCACAATTGCTTCAGCAATGTGCTATTTCCACGATCCTCTATATTTAATTCTACGTTCAGTGTGCAGTACAAGTCTTACAGAAGATAGTTGTGCTATTAACATTACTGAAAATATCATGCGAGTTGTGTCAACTGAACTGGCTACTCAAAGGCACCAAAGAATTATTTGAGATTTATTTCCGTAAATGCAATTTACTACAATAGATAGATATTTAAACTTAACAATTTGGATTTTGATTTACTTATAAGTCATAGTAAGTTGTAAATGTACCAGAAAAAAATTACAGTGTGTCAAGAGTTCTGATGATTTTGGGACGGCTAGTATTGCCGAAACTTTGAAATACATGACTTACAGACAATTCATACCGCACAGTGAACGTAGAACGTATAGAGCTTGAAATCTAAAGATGTATAGAGAGTAGAAAAATTGTAAAGTTTAAAAAATAAATCGATCAAAAAAGAACAAAACTACAGTCAGACAGTCTTTGTGTGTTACCGGAGGAAAGTGTAACAATTGTTTGTGTGGGATAGTTGGGCGCCATCACTCAAAGGTTCAGACGGAGGTCCTCTGTCGGACTTTATCGAGGGGCTAGGCCCTGGACAGCTGGTGGGCCGGCAAGTCCTGGGGGCTCCGTCCTTGGGCGACATTCAGCTCAGCATGTGCTACCAGAAGGGATATCTGGAGGTGGAGGTGATACGAGCGCGAGGGCTGCAATCCAGACAGGGCTCTAAAGTGTTACCAGGTATGAGACAAACGTACTTCCATACATTTTAGTAGACTAACCTGAAAGAGAAAGAGTCCTCTATGGCGCAAAAAAGTTACATGATCAACTTAGATGATTTCTCCGTCACTGACAGCTCTCTCCAAGTCTCCAAGAAAGGATTGAGTCGGAAACCTCGAAGCTTTCCAGCTCATTGGGTCCCATAAGACAGGATACATTCCCACTTCATAAATTCCTAAATACACTAAAAAACATACCTCAACTGTTGGTTGTTAAATATTTAAACCGCCTTCCAACTGGGGCCCACCACCGTTGCCAGCAGATCATTTGTTTGAAATGTACACAAATTTCATCGTGCGATCTTTCCCAGACCGTGATTATTTACAGAAACTGCTAAACTCCTAATTTTGGGAATAAGAATGGCAGTATAAAGCTTTAAAAACCTACACAAATACCTCACGAAGGTTAGAGCACTGTTGTAATAGAAAAATTTAAGTCAGACATTCCACTTGAAATGCTGTTCGTAATATTGGAATATTCTATCTACTGTATATTGTTTAATGTTCTTGAGCCTGAATGAACTCTTCCCAATTGAGGAAAGACTCGTATAAAAAGTTCATAAAACCTAAGCCATTACTGTTTGTGCTCAATGTCAGATCCTTAAGATTTTTATTTTAGTGTTTACTAACTTAGTAGCCTAGAGGACATATAGAATCTATTTTTAACACTTTATAGCTTTATGTGTTTAATGTGTCGTAATTGTAAGAGTGTGTTTTGATTTATATTCATTGTTATTTTACGAAGTTAAAAATCACTGCAATTAAATAGAACGATCTTGTAAACAACTGTTTATCACTCAGACGATAATTGTATGTACAGTACTTTGAGTCAAACATACAATATTGACCTACTTTACACTCCCTCCTTAGACTGGTTACTCAGTTACTGTAGTATTTTTCAGAGTGTTATTTAGCCCTATAGCTTAGTGTGATTAAGAAAGTACATTTTTACTTAATTTTTGATGATCATACTTAACCCAGATGGTTGTGTGTGATGATAACAATATAATTTTTGTCCACAGCGCCTTATGTGAAAGTGTACCTTGTAAGTGGGAAGAAATGTTTGGCGAAAGCGAAAACAGCGACAGCCAGACGAACTTTGGATCCTCTTTACCAGCAAACACTTACCTTCAGGGAACCTTTTCAAGGCTGCATACTGCAGGTGAATGGCTTGATTCTGTGACAAAGGGTGAAACAACAGGTCATATTGTTTAAAGGGATGTTTCAGTTCTATCGTGAATTCACTGTGAATTCTATTGTGAATAAACAGCAATTTGATTTTTTAAATTTTTGTTCGTTGATGGCGAATAACTAAACGGAGAATCAAGAATCAATATTTTTATTCCGTTAGACATGTACATGCATTTGTATACGTCAATAAGGTTGATTACATGCTGCAAAAACAAATCAGGCATTAAAAAAAAAAAATCAAATCAATAAATCACTAACTAGTGTACCTGTTGCTCGAATTCGAGCAATTGCTAAGTATTGCAGGCGTTATTTTAAAACGAATAACAGTCATGATTTCTGATGACTTTAAAATATTCGACTCAAAGATTATGAAAATACTCAAGATGTAGCCTACATAACAGATCGATATAATTTAATGTAAATAGTGTTTTCTACAAATAGCCTTACTCATAGCCGCATTAGGTTTCCAGACACATTATGTGTCCAAAAGCCTAACAGCACGACTCCCTTCCCCATACCGCCCTGAGCAATAGGGATCATCGAGATTCACTCTAACCTTTCCTGCCCCTTCATGAGCAAGTTTTCATTTCTTTTCTTTCTTAGTTTTTGTTTGTTTCTTTTTTTAATTTTAACACCTGTATGTATCCCTGGTTTTTCCTATTTCCCTAGCTACTTTTCTAAACGTCTCAATTGTTTCCTTGTCACTCATCATGTTTTATTTTCTCATCTCTAGACGTCTCTTATCCAAGACTTATTCCTGTTTTTTCCTATTTATTGAGTGAACAATTTATAAATACGTGACTTGTGGTTTTTATTTCTCCACATCTACATACTTCCTCTTCCACCATGTGAAATCTTCACAAAATCGCCTTGAAATTTTCCATGTCCTGTGACAGAATGCGTTTCATAATGGCCCATCTCCCAATCTTGTTCCAGTCTCTTTCTGATGTTAGGTATACATACAAAAGTTTACCTTTAAAACGTTAACATAAAACACTCTGCTCCGCATTTGCCACTCATCTAATATCTCCTCTCTTCTGTTTCCGATGTAGTCTTACCCGCCTCCTTGTCTTAAAAAATCAACAGCTTATGCAGCGATTATCCAACAGTCCTAAATTGAATGTGAAATCTTCAGGCGGCTGTTGGAGAGCACACTTAAACCCAACACGGAAGGGTGCTTGCTGTATTCGGCTATCAACGACAATAGTATTATTTGTATTTTGTTCTCGTCTACCTGCTAAAATTGGTTGACCTCCTCCTCCTATTGGCCGTCCTGGCCAACGTCTCCATTATGTCGAACGTTTTTTGGTTATGTTTTGATTTTGTGCAAAATTTTAGTATAACCAGCTGTTTAAAATATTAGTGTCAATTTGAAAGTATTCATCTGTTCAAATGTAAACAAACACTTTTCCCCTATGAATAACATGGGAACTTTGAAGGCCACTGGGGCAGAGCCCTGATGGAACTCCAAAGTTTTTTTGTTTGATGGCAAAACTACATGCCAAGACCTTTCTAACAACACCTTGGACATGGTGATCGGTAGCACCACCACTCCAAAACAATTATGACAAAAATATGCCTAGCGTATTAAATATATAGATAAAAAATACAAAATAATGAGTCATAATTTTTTATTTCTTGATTGGATTTAATTGTTGATGACAGTTCAATCCGAAACACTGGTCTAAAAAGAATAGTACTGTATGATTATTCGTATTTTAGAATGGTTAAGTAGAATCATTTATGAAATAGTAATTGGAACCCAGAAACGTGCAAAAAGTGGCAAATTTTGGTAAAGATATCATAATAGTTAAAATTAAATCGTGGTGCTATACAAGCTCAGATATTAACTCAATGAGATGTGTGGCTTGTTTTTGTGAGTTTTCCAACTGTACCATTAGTAACAGTTAACTTCAAAGTATTTATTTGCGGTCCAAGATCTTAAAATAATTAAAAGCAGACCTCTACGTTTTGTAATCCCCAGCTTTATTTATATCTGCTGTGTGGTTTTGTCTAATAAACGTACGTTTTATTCATTCACTTATTCAATTACTACTCTTGTTTGTTACAGGTTACAGTGTGGGGCGACTATGGCCGTATTGAAGGCAAGAAAGTGTTCATGGGAGTCGCCCAAATCATGCTCGACGACCTCAACTTATCAAATATTGTGATCGGCTGGTACAAATTGTTTGGGACCACATCCTTGGTTAGTGGGCCCCCTTCGCTGGGCCTCTCTCGACGCAGCTCCCTTGCTAGTCTTGACTCCATTAAGTTATAGTCCTCCCCACCCTTGTAGATAACTCCTCCGTTTTACGTTCTCTTTTAGTTTTTCCTATGATTTTCTCCGTTTACTTTTCATCTTCCACACTTTCCTGGTCCGTGGCAATAAAGTAGTGACGAGTGAAAAGTTTTGAATTGCTCCTTTAAAATTGTCAGCTTAAGACGAGATTTATAGTTTGCGAGAGCTTTTGTATTAACGAGATTTAAAATATTAAAATATAAATAATCGCTACATCCCTAGATATGAGTTTTCAGAAAAAACTGTATTTGTACAAAAAGGGATATATTCGAACCTGCAGTGCTTCTTGACTACTTTATAGTCAGTCCTGTCCTACATATCATGTGAATGAAAATATTTTTCACTTTTCTACTTTTTTCTTAGCTTTAGTTTGTCTGTTTAGTTGTAGACCATCACCGGGCTTCTTCAGCTGACCTAGGTAACTTGTAGTTGTGTTTGTATCTCTGTGGTGTAGTCTGCTTTACACATGTTCTGTTGTTGTTTGTTGCTCTCTAGGTGCTTTGTTGTTACACACTGTTAGTCAAGGGAAACACAGGAGACTTTGGGATCAAAGATTTAAAACGGCCGACACACGACTCAAACTTCGGTCGATAACCTCATCAAACTCAACCTCAAATGTTGTTTCAATTAATGCAAACGCTAACCGTTGCAAATCTGGGAATTTAGAGATTCCAATGCCAAATGTTTAATCAAGGTTACTTTCTTGTTATTACTGGGTTATTATTCATTCAGTTTCAATACCCCAAGTGCCATTCCAACCTGACCTCGTATTTATGAACACAACTACTTCAAGGACTAGAAAAAATAAGTAGTTAAGATAAAATTTAACTTACACAGCCATCGGGTGCTGCTGTAAAAATTTAGTCGCCTCCTTCTTGACTCACGAACTATTCAATCAAATAAACAATACAAGTGTCAAGTGGAGATCGGGCATCTGAATCCAGTACGGATCCCATTGACGTCCCGAGTTTCCTCCTATTTCAATCCCAAAATCTCCAGTGTCTGTTTACAGTTAGGTAGTTAAGTGTCATCAAGTAAAAAAAATAAAGGATTGTGGTTAGTTTCTCTCGAGGGACAAAAAAAATTAGATTAACAATGGAAGCATTAAAAAAATTCAAAAGTAAATTTTGAACATTATTGTTGTAGTTTTTGGAAGTTTGTTATTTCAACTTTGTTCGGTTCATTGATCACAAATCACGCTAAGTAACTTGGGAAAATCTAACTACATTGAAGTATTTTGCTAAAGTATAGCTCCGAAAATAGGAGCTATGAATCTTAAAAAAGTGAATCTACTGAATAAAAAAGCAGCTTCTAATGCAGACAAAAAATAGAAATAAATCTGTAGTAAATGGAAACATCTGCATCAACAACAGACTCATCCATAACTCAATCTGTTATCAGCTTAAACATATTTAAACACAAATTTTGTTAGTATGGTAAACAAACATTTACACAAACATTAGTGTTTATTGGAAACAATAATTAAAGAAACTACTCACTTGGAAGTTTAAGATAAGCTTATAATTATTAGCAATATTTTGTTTTATTGTGTATTCTGCATGAGTGTTCGTTATATTTTCACTTTACATTAAACAATTTTCGAATATCAGTTGCGTGTCCTTGTTTTGTGTACACAACATTTTAACACTAACGATGACGATACTTCATTGTAACACTTAACAATGTAAACACTTAAAAATAAAAGTTTAATTCTCATGAAAATGGGATTTCAACAAATTATTGTCAGGGATCAACTAATTCCTCACTTTGTATTAAAATTATCCATGATACGAGATATATACTTCTATTTTACAATGAACCTAGATTTGAAAAATTGTATGCTAATTGATAACTTATTCACTAAGTTAAAAGCCGGATACAAACAGGCACAATTGTACTGAACAAAATAATATTATATACCACAAGGACAAAATTAACGTAGCAAAAAGCAACCATCAATCTGTTAGGTTAGCGCTGTTAAGAGTCCTTGGAGCCTAGATGTAAAACATCTACTATAGCATGTAAAATTGTTAAAAGAACTACAAAGAAGATTTATAATCTCACAGTATACTAGATATTTAAATAACAATCACTCTGGTGTTTGATAAAATATTTTGAGATGGTAAATAACTCTTCAGCGGCTTCTTGAAATTAACAAAATTAAAATTGCTCTTATGGTGCTCTAATCTAAGATGGCCGTTAGCTTCTATGGACTCCCTTGGAGAACAATTCAAAACTACAAAGAACATTTCAAATCCCACAGTATACTAGATATTTTATATATAATCACTTTGTTCTTTGAAAAAATATTTTTGGGCGATAAATAACTCTTAAGCAGCTGTTTGAAATAATCCAAGATGGCCGCTAGCCTCCAAGGACTCTTAAACATACAACTACAGTCCAATGTAACGTCCCTGAGCGCTGTAATCAAGTCATGATGTGAAATGCAAATGGAAAAAAGTGTAATTTAGCATCAAAGAAAAACTGTAATCCTAATAACAGAAATAACAGATTATTTGTTATACGTACTTCAGAAGCAATGTTTAAACAGTTCTGGTAATGTTGATGTGACCTGAGTAATTTTAAAACAAGTAAGCATTTTTTCGTAAAACTCAATCTTATTTCCAACATCTGTACTACGATTGTACACGATTACCGCTAACTTTACTTTTGGGTGTAAAACATATTTGTTGATAAAATACGGGTAAAAAAAATCAATGTGTATAAAAAACTCACAAAATTTGTGGTTTTTAAATGTGTACACTACATCTTGAGGTTGTTGTCTTTTGATGCTTTTCCTGTTCAGTATGCATGCTTGTCATTGTCCTTGCTGGAACCATAAAACTATTTTTGTCGAGGAATCTAAATCGGAGACTCTAAAAGTCGAGTAACTAAGAATTTTAATTCAATCTGGCCTCAATCTCGCCTAATCCCATGAAACATTTAACTAATAGTTAGATAAGTACTTGAAAGAGAAATAATGGATTAATCTACTTATGAATGCAATAAAATGTTACATAGGTAACTTAACAATTTTCTAAATTTCAAATCACTCATAAATTACTATCCGCTATGCAATCACTGTAATTTTTATTTTGGCTTAGATGAGCATTGCCATTTTAGTTGGGTAGTTTCATAGTTGTCACTGTAAAATAGATAATTCCTTACTTCTAGCATGGAAAAAAGCATATTTCAAGAAAACAGTAATACGCATGCTGTATATAGAATTTTTAGTTAAATATCTACTTCTAACTAGACATAAGAAATAAATTAATTTTAATATGTAAAAATCATTAATATTCTAGTGTTTGGATTTGGAAGTATAAAAAGGTTTCTAAAGTAATTTTATAATTATTTTGGCAAATTTTGAATGGATCTAAACTATTTCAGGATAAACAATAACAAACCAATATCAATGGTAAAGTATAATTATTATAACTTGTATTATAGAAACCCATTGTGTTGTGATTTGTTTTTATATTGTTTTTGTTTTTCTTAGTTATATTTTGTTTGAATTAAACCAGTTCATAAAACCGGTGGTAAGTAAAATTGAATACCCTAATTATATTTCTAAGACAAATTTCTTTTGCTACATGAAAAAATACATATCTTAAATTATTTTTAAAATAATTAGATATTTAAATTGGAATGGTTTTTAAATAAATTTCCCATACTAAAATGTAGCCGGACAGTAGCTGAATGTTCATATTATTTTATGTGTTAATTTGTGTTTTTTTTCTACTTTTATCATTTATTTGTTTGAATTTGCACAAATGGTTTGAAAATGCACAAATCTATGTGGTCACAATCTTCTTCTGAAGTGGGTAAGTTGTTAAAAGCCGTAAAATGTTAACCTACACTAGATTGTCAAGAATAACTTGACAACTAAATCAGATGTTTACCTGAGCTAATATTCATTTGTAGTGATTAGAAATGTGTAATCAAATTGTTAACACATATAAATACATAAATAAGGACACAACTTTCAGTCGTAGATATTAAACTGTTCTAAAGTCAACTTAACCATTTGTTGTAGTGTTTTCAAACTAATAATGATCATTAATGTTCCCTGAACTCACCTTCTCTTCTCCCTTCCTTGTCCACTGGTATTGAATATATTCTGTTTATTCAACTAAATATTTTATGCATAATCAAACAAGATTTGTTTTGTGTAAACAATTATGGTATTGTATTTTTTTTTTATTTTTTTTCAATTACAAAAAGAACTTCCAACTCCAATCACAAGAAAGGAATATTTTGGTAGGAATTCCGTTTACAATGGATACACATTGCTAATATAACAAGGCTTTCACTATTTTCTACAAAACCATTTATCAATCATAATGCTATTGAATTCAAAATGTCAATATTGCCTTGGACTTGGTGCAACGTTTTAATTAATTATCCTTATAACAGCACACTGTACACACTTTTTACTGCCCAAGTATTTAAAATTATAATTCAATTAATAGGAAATTTTTTCAAAAGTACAAAAGACTCCCTTTTGATTGATCACCTTGAGCGCAATTTTTTACGGGTTATGTTTAAGATGCAGACCCTTACTGAACCATTGAATGTTCCAGGCTATGAATTGTTTGTGTATGTTGCGAACTGTCTGAGTGTCCGTAACAGAAATTTGTTCGTTAAATCCCGAGAAAATCCTAATCTTTTTGATGGTTTGAAACTGGACCGAGATGTCGTTGATCATCTAAACGAATGTCTTGGCTAAAAAAACAACAACTTCAGTTACAGTCCATCCTTTACTCAACTCCGACTTAAAATATGTACCCCAGTCTGGCATGTCCTAATACTAAACAGATCAAAACAAAAGGGAGTCTCTGGTACCTACATGAATTTATCTACAAGATCATATTGACCCTTGTGTTTATCATGAGGCAAATGTGGTCTTTTGTAATATCCTTAGCCTTACAACATCCAATTTACCACTTTGTTTTCCAGTGTTAACTTATTTGTATGTCTCTGTTCCAGTGAGTGTTTCGCTTACGTGTGACTCCAAAGAACGTTAGTGTGGTGCTATAAGTGCGTTTGTTGGTTTGTGGCGGTCAATGCTCATTTTTTTACATTTGACAAATATAATTTAAAATTTCTATTACCATTTTACCTTTAGGTAAAATATATAAATATATATATATAAGTAAATATATATATATGAAATTATACTACGAGATTCAGCAGCACACGGTGTCTCGTCACGTTGTACAGATAGGTTCTAAGTTATAAGCGATGTTGTGTACCATTCTGTTCCATGTTCTATGCGATATTGTCGTGGGATGTTGTAGACGAGGCCATTTACTCCCCTAAGGTGGAGCGCTTGTTGAAAGTTGTATGATTTTTGTGCTTTCTTTCTTGTCTTATCGAGCTTGATGATTTTAGCTCACTCTGGCGGAGCAGGTATTTTTTGTAGGCTTCCCTCCGACTCTTGTTATCCGTACGAAGTTAAGTCAAAGTAGAATATAGACTAGCTACTTATGTAAAACATGTGCAAATTTTTAAGGACATTTTTATACGCTATGTTAAGTTGTATTTGGAATTGTACAAATTTATGAAATAATAATTGTACATATTTCTGTTTATCAAGCCGATCTGTTTGTATCGTAATATTTTCTTCATTAGTAGCACAACAATTTATTTGTGAGATTGACAAACGACCTGACAGATAAAAGCTATTTATTACAGATAGATTTCAGTGCTGGTAACGTTAATGGTTTGTTTGAAAAGCTTTAATTAAATCTACCACAAAGTACTATGAAAAATAATTTTTAAATACTATTGTATAACTGAAATAATTTGTTTTAGTTCAAGAATACTTAAATGCAAAATTATTTTTTATCATAAGTACCTATGTTATAACCATATTGCTAGTTATGAAAGGACTCTTATGGTATTTATAGATAGCGGAAAAATTAACATAAGAATTATGATGGTTTAACCTAAACAAAAGAAAATGTATCAAATATAGTTGATAAGTAATGTCTTGTGACATTTTGGTTTCTGTGAAACCACTAAACACATACAAGTAAGAGCTAAACAAAGTCCTTTAGGAAATATTGAATAAAGCTTCAACATATTTTTAAATAATTGATGTACCTATTTTGTTTGTAAGTGATAAGAGCGAATATATTTCCAATTTGTAATTTAGTGTTTTCTGGTTAGCAGAGTTAATAGAAAAAATAACTTAAAATTTTTAATACAGTAGTTTAACATTAAATCATATAAAAGTGAAAATCCCTGATTTTGAGAATGTTATTTGTAGGTCAGTTATTTATTTATTTTTATTTCTTACAATTTATAATAATTTATTGCACTTCCACTCACTTGTGTACTAATTTATAATTTCTTTTACTCCATGAAGTATTTCCTTTTACACTTTGTGAATGAATCATTGCTACCCCATATTGCTGAAATGTGCCTTTTTAGATAACCTCTCATTGTTTCCTTTATGTATTGCACATAATTTGAATGTTAGAATTTGTCACTGGATGCTTTTACAACATTACCATAAGGTATTGAAAGTTTGTTTGATTTGCGTTGTTACATCTGCAAAGCTATCTTAGAATATGTAAAAAAACATAACTTTAAACCATGTTTGCTGACCTTTGTAACTCGCAGACATTTTTATAACTGCAATATTTAACTTTACGATTATTTTTACAGTAAGGAAACATGTATAATGATTGTACACTATAGCAAAGCTAAAAAATAATTTCTCGGATCAAAGCTAACAATAAAGAGTAAACATGGCTAGACATCGTCAAAAATTATTATCATTTAGTATAACTTTAGGAAAACTCAACTTATCTTTTATACATATACAATTTTCATATTTGAAAGTCCCAAGCAGCTTTGAAATATTTCTTACAAAACAAAAGATTAAATCACAAAATATCAATATAATGACTCATAGTTAATTTAATTCAATGAAGTGATCTATATTGATGTGACTTAAAACAAGTGAAGAAGTATTTTTACAAAACCTAGATTACATTTTGTATTTTTTTTACAAAAGTGTTTCTTACTACTAAAATAAACAACGTATCGTTTACAAATCCAGTGATCTTTTAACATTCAGTGCATCGCGGCCGGAGTTTTTATATACATGACAATAACAAAATGTTTAAAAGCACAGTTTCAATCCTAGTCACGTTCTTCATTAGCTTGTGAAATTCAAATTTAGGCTTTTCGTTTGCCTCTAAATTAAGTAGCGATATTTTTAAGGTAGTCGAAAATAGTCTATGAATTTGGCTTGTAAATATCTTTCGGGTTTAGAGATTGTGCTCAAAGGGATATTTTTGTTAGTGATAGCAGGGTGGTGATCTGTATCCATATCATGCAGAGTGTGCGGGCACCGTGTGCTGCTGAGCTCTAATGAGGGCGACAATACAAGGTCTTAGCTCTGCTGTACTCTAGTATGTATAAAGGCATTTATAAGTATTCAACTAAATAATTAAACACATTTCTGAAATATACTCTGAGTCTTCTCTTTCTAACCTATCAGCTTTAGTCTGGGTAGCTGAGTTGCGATCGCACACAAAACAGAAGCTCACTTGTTCGATACTAGATCCAGATGCAATGTGTAAGATGTACAGTAATGGTGCTATTGTTAGGGCGGCCTATTGGATTTAGGCATTATAATGCCATCCCAGAGGATGTTGACCACTACAAAATAAAGCGGAAGGTTTGCCTAACTATTGTTACTGAATTATGAAAGTTTAAAGCTGTGTAGCTAAAGGTAAACCTGAGTGATTTTGAAGCTCAGTGAATAATAATAATTAAAGTTAAACAGTCAGTGTCTTTTGAGTAAGCTAATTGTTTTACTACATACTACAATAAATTTTTTGAGTGTTGTGATTTTTTTAACAGAAACTTGAGGTAAAAGCCAGTTTTCCTAGCTGACAAATTTGGCTGCACTCTTCAGGACACCAAACAGCTGATTATATTTGACAATGAGTGATTTTAAACAAAAACATAACCTCTCTTAGATGATATGAATAGTGATTGGGAATAAGGATTTGTACAGATTTTTTATTGTTTAGTTAGCTTCTTAGAGTAGTATCACTCGTCCAAAATGTGTTTACCGGATTTGTATGGTAATCCCGAACGCGACTTTGTCTTGCATGGGAATGACCACACTCGTCCAGTAAACACCTATTTTCAGGACTAGTAACATGGTATTATACTATTTTCTAGCTGCCGAATTCGACAAGTACTATATCATGAAAAACTAGACATTCACAATACCACAGTGTGTATCAGTTAGTAAAACAAAACCCAACTTGAGAAGGCAGCAAGATCCCTTACTCTACATTGCCAACAATTATACTTCAATACAATGAAACCATTCATATTTCACTTCAGGCTCCCAGTCCTCATTTTATCAGGCTGCTTTTCAGAATTCACAAATAAATAGTTATTTGTGTAACTAGTGGTGAAAGTGGCACTTTGCTGCACACGAGAGCAATGTTTACGCACGAGCCGCAGGCGAGTGCGGAATGATCTCGAGTGCAGCAAAGGCCTTTTTCACTCGTGTTACACATTATATTTTACCTACAGTCACTATAAAGCATATAAATAATTAGTCTTTCAAACACTATACAACACGTTTTTAGGTTCAGCTGGCAACACAAATGGTGCCCTAGAGAAAGTAGTACCCGCGGTCCGTATCACTCCGCTATTTTTCCTCGGCAAGAAATGTGCTCCGCGTTTTGAGAATATAGTTCCGTATGTTTTTGTAATTTGAAGTGGTTTCCGCGCCTAAAAAAATGCTTTAACTGTATTTTCTTGTTTATTAAGATCGTAGGAATGTTTTAAAAGCGTTTAAATGAAAAGTCCAGAATGTTCAGAAATGCCTAAACTATAAACACGAAATGACAGGTTAAATCGTAGTTATAGTAGTCAATCAGCTGCTCATAGTATTATTATCTTTAAGTGTTGCCAACCTATTTCCAAGCGTACACGGACTACGTGCATAATAGAACCACGCTGTTTTGTGTTGTTTCGTTGGAATCCTGATGTGCGGCAAAGTATAAACCGTACGGCAAAGTATAAATATGCAGCAATTAGCAGCTTTCTGTACTATAAACAGTACAAGGAAGCCAACTTTGTCGGGTGACTGTAGGAAAAAATGTATTTAACACATTACTAAGTCCTACTCTTTCCACTGTCTCACAGTGAATCAACTTCCATATCTAATTTTATCCAATTAGATACATTATGTTCTTCTGTGTACACCACTGCTATGTTTTAGTTTAGTTGGCAACATCTATATAACTCTTTTATTGTGTTTAGTGGATTTATTAATATGTGTTTTTACAACTAAAACGTAGAATTAGATTTTATCCTTTTCAAAATAGAATTAATCATGTAGTATTATTCTGGGTTGAGTTGCCTTTTTCACAGTTAGCTAGTTGGTTTATGTTTGGTCCTGAGGTGGTCAGATAGGAGAAGATCTACAACAACAAATACTCTTCAAAACTTGTCTAAGTGGAAAGAGGAATTGAATAACACCGATACAATTTAGTAAAATAAACAAGATATAATCGACAATAATAGACGCAAGGTATAATCTTAAAATATTAATTGGTTAGTTTTTCAAGTGTTTTGCATGGAATTCGAAATGCTCCTCGATGAATGATGCGACATAGAAGTAGCTGTGGTCGTAGCCTTCCCTCATTTTGAGCACAGCAGGTACCAGCGCATTCTTGCAAGCGTTCATGAAGTTTTCCGGCAAGAGTTCACCAGCTTTGATGTATTCATCATCAGCTCCCTTAAACATTTTCATCACAATATCTTTAAAACACCATGTATTAAGCTGACTAAGTAATGTTGCAGACCATTTAAAATATAATGTGTACACATTTTTTTTATTTGGATGACAACTACATTATATAGTCCAGGCAAACTAAACAAACTTACATAGGGACCGTTAAAAAAATTGCAAGAAAACGTTTTATGGTTTTATTTTGTAGAGTTGGGTTTGCAGAATGACATACTAAAAGTTGCCAAAAATCGGTGCACGAGAAAACCACTAAAATCACAATTTAAAATGGCGGCTTTTTTCAACATTGGACAAATTAAAAAAACATATTTCTCATGCATTTGCTATGCACATTTTTCGAGATACTGTATTGACTTGGGACCACCGCCTGTATTTATTGAGTGGTTAGTACTTCATTTTGATAGGGAACATGTTTTTGGCCGCCATCTTGGATCCGCCATATTGGACATAGATAATTTTTTTCAATGTAACGATAGTGTTGTGACACATCATTACCAACTACATTTTTACACTGATTTCAATGCCAAAATCCGTTTTTAAATATCTTTATTCATTTAGAAGATATATACAAAAGAAAACTCTGCACCATACATTTCTTATGGACGTTTCGTAGTTTGATATTTTTTTAAAATTATTTTTCTTATATCTCCAGTTCTTATTAACGCTTGTAGTTCGTTCTAGGCTTAAAATATTCAGTAATGTAAGGGCTTTCATTTGAGCTCTTGATCATTAAAATCAGACGAGTTAAAGACCTGCTACGAACCTCAGAACAATATTAAATTTAACTCTTTAGAAATATATTTTTATTAAAAGATTTATAACTCGGGTTGTTAATACGTCACCGAGTTCTTTCTGGTCTCAAATTACTCAGTAAATGTTTGGCTTTAATTTTATTGATCATTAAACAAAATCTGACAATTTTAAAATGAGCCATGGACCATAATTTAACATTAGAATGTATTTATTTTGAAATTTGTCTTTAGTTAAGGACATATATCCCAAACCCTAATAACTCCTGGAAAGTAATTCATAGCTAAAATAAAAGTCAATATTTTGGCGAATTATTTAAGACTATAAAGAGTTTTGGGAGTTATTTAGAATTAGGAATATACGTCTTTAACTAAAGACAAATTTCAATATAAATACATTCAAATGTTAAATTATGGTCCATGGCTCATTTTAAAATTGTCAGATTTTGTTTAATGATCAATAAAATTAAAGCCAAACATTTACTGAGTAATTTGAGACCAGAAAGAACTCGGTGACGTATTAACAACCCGAGTTATAAATATTTTAATAAAAATATATTTCTAAAAAGTTAAATTTAATATTGTTCTGAGGTTCGTAGCAGGTCTTTAACTCGTCTGATTTTAATGATCAAGAGCTCAAATGAAAGCCCTTACATTACTGAATATTTTAAGCCTAGAACGAACTACAAGCGTTAATAAGAACTGGAGATATAAGAAAAATAATTTAAAAAAAAATATCAAACTACGAAACGTCCATAAGAAATGTATGGTGCAGAGTTTTCTTTTGTATATATCTTCTAAATGAATAAAGATATTTAAAAACGGATTTCGGCATTGAAATCAGTGTAAAAATGTAGTTGGTAATGATGTGTCACAACACTATCATTACATTGAAAAAAAATTATCTATGTCCAATATGGCGGATCCAAGATGGCGGCCAAAAACATGTTCCCTATCAAAATGAAGTACTAACCACTCAATAAATACAGGCGGTGGTCCCAAGTCAATATCTCGAAAAATGTGCATAACAAATACATGTGAAATATGTTTTTTTAATTTGTCCAATGTTGAAAAAAGCCGCCATTTTAAATTGTGATTTTAGTGGTTTTCTCGTGCACCGATTTTTGGCAACTTTTAGTATGTCATTCTGCAAACCCAACTCTACAAAATAAAACCATAAAACGTTTTCTTGCAATTTTTTTAAGGTCATATCCTATATTTACCCGACTAATATTCTAATCCCAGAATGAGTAGAATTGGGTTGATTGGAACTTGCTAATAATTAGTCTCAATACCCTCAATATAATCCAATATAATTGGATTGGAAATCAAAACAATCGGATGGAAAAGGTTTTTTTTAATATGTGAAAATAGATTAAGTTATTATTAATAACTATAATATTATTTATAGTTATTTTATTGAGTCAAACTAAAGACCAAAGTAGCAAATTAAAATTTAACCATGTCAAACATGACTGGGACGGTGTCGTCGTCCTGTAATCCAGCTACTAGGTCACGGATTGTGGATATTATTTACAGGCATGCACTGTGGATGCAATTCATTCTGGTGTGGATTAAGATCCGCACTAGTGAGTACTATGACTATCCGCAGTACTATCCTGATAATTAGACCAATTCGTTAATACCAAGGCATTAATTTGGTTCGGATTTCACTATAAACTGTAGGTCCCTTAGTTGTCATTAGCTGTATGGGCTAATTAACAGCTGAAACTAAGGAATATGTCAGCCTCAGTCACCAACAAGACTACAAGATCGCGCCACTCATCCTACACTCATCTCCATTCATACTTGGCTTAAAATACCTACTTTGTATGGTTGCCATTTCAATGAAATGTATTAAAATACTTTACATTGATCTTCTAAATGGCAAAATGGGTTTCTTACCCCTGTCTGTTGTCC